GTTCATCGGCACTGGAAAAAAAGTGACTTGTGACATTTTTCACAATTATGACTTTTGCAGCATATCCATGATCATGTGATCAATTTCAGATGCTTGGCAATTGGTTCATATTTATGACAGTTGCAGTGTCTTGGGATCCTGTGACCTTATGACAAACAAAATCAATGGGGAAGCCAGATTCACTTTACAACCGTAAAGTGTTATTAACTTAACAACTGCAGTGATTCACTTAACAATTGAGGCAAGAAATAGAATAGAACAGAACAGAACAGAACAGAACAAAACAAAACAAAACAAAACAAAACAAAACAAAACAAAACAAAACAGAATAGAATTTTTATTGGCCAAGTGTGATTGGACACACAAGGAATTTGTCTTGGTGCATATGCTCTCAGTGTACATAAAAGAAAAGATACGTTCATCAAGAATCATAAGATACAACAGTTAATGATAATCATAGGGTACAAATAAACAATCAAATCATATTAGGAAACAGTCAGGTCATAAAATGGGGCAAAACTCACTTAACAAATGTCTCACTTAACAACAGAAATTTTGGAATCAATTGTGGTCATAAGTCGAGGACTACTTGTATTGGGTTGTATTATCTTCCCAGTAACTCAGATAAATGTCTGGAATTGCCTTCAGATACTTGCCTGAGGGAGGGAAAAAGAGGATTTTCCTTTGGGATTCACACTATCTCTACAAAGGAGATAAAGCTTTTAGGCAGAAGCTATGTGGAATTTTAATTTTTTTTATCTTTTTACTTAATTCCAAAATTATTTATTTCTCTGCACAAGCTCAATGATTGCACATATTTCTGTCTTTTATGTGTAAGGTATATTGTGAGTGTTGTGGTGGCCTAGTGATGAAAATGCTTGTCTTGTCTACATTAGAAGTGTTAGTAACCCAAACGTCATTAATCAGGGAAAATATGTCACATATAAGGATAAAATAAATGAAGAAGGGGGACTGAAATCGAGACAAGAATTAAAAGAACAAGGGGTAGATTTGGAGTGGTGGTCCTATTTACAGATCTAATCATGTTACTTGAAAGACATGAAAGACTGGGGCATCAACAGGGAATTAATGATAATAGATAAGCTCTTTCTGGGGACAAATGATAAATTGGTAAAGAAAATTTATAAATTCTTATTGGATTATAAAATGGAAGAAGAGCAGGTCAAAGAAACGATGGTGGCATGGACAATAAATTTTGAGTACAATATACAACTAGAAAAATGGCAAGAATTATGGGAAAAAAATAGGAAAATAACATTGGCAATACCGTATAAAGAAAATTTATACAAAATGTTCTACAGGTGGCATCTTCCACCAGCGAAATTGGCCAAAATGTTTAGAAATTGATCACCAAAATGTTGGAAGTGCAATCACGAATCAGGCATGTACTACCATATATGGTGTCATGTAAAAAAGCAAAGGAGTATTGGCGGAAAATTCATTTATGGCTGACAGAAGTAATTGGAGAAAAAATAGAATATAAACCAGAACTATTCCTATTGGGAATTATAAATGGGAAATATAGTAAAGGGGTAATTTACTTAATAATACATATTATAACAGTAGCAAGAATGATTTTTGCCCAAAATTGGAAAAATAAGGAAATCCCCCTAGATGAAGTGATCAAAAAATTTTTGACATGTGCGGAAATGGACAAATTAACATTGGAATTGAAAAATAAAGGCGAGTCAGATTATTAGAAGATACGGAGCAAATTTTATTAACTGTTGGAACGGAAAGGAGGGATGAAAAATATGAACTGACTAGAACTTATAGAATGGAGAACTAAGGTTATGTATGTAATTACAATAGAATGAAAGAGGATAAGACAAAAGTATAAGTAATATAGCTAGAAAAATGATGTCTTTATATATGTAAATACTGAATAGACCAAATGTATATAAGTAGCAAGGTATATATAATACTTAGTATCATAGTATGTATGTATGGAAAAGATAATGCCGGGACGGTTACACTGTATCCAATGTTTTAATATGTGTTTAATAAAAAAACTTCAAAAAAAAAAAAGATGTTCGTCTTCCACTTGGAAGACTGAGAGTTCAATCCTAGGTAGCATGGCAGATGTTTCTCTCCTACGTTGAAAAGAAAAAAAATATCTGCTGCAAACTTCGTGTGGTGTCAGGAAGGGCATCCAGTCAGTAAATGCCCAGCTCCATCCAGTTGCCCCGAATTAAGGGATTATAGCAGGGCTGTCAAACTGGTGGCCTGCAGGCTGGATACGTCACATGCAGGCTACGCCCACCCCAGCTCTGTGAGGGGGGAAAACATCGTGAAACATCACATGACGGCAATGTGATGCCACATGTTTGACACCCATGGATTACAGTGTCATAAAAAGGGAGTTTTTTATGTAGATGATGTATGAAATACATTTTTTTTTCAAATCTATTGGGACCATATGTTCTTGAGCTGTTTAAAACTTGTAGCCTAAGGAAAAATTAGCCCATCAAAGCCAACTTGCAGTCTTTTGTATTTTAGCAAGGATCTGGCTGTTTTCTATTGCAGGGGTCCCCAACCCTATTTGCAATTGGGCCGTGCAAGTGCATGCAGCTTGACTCACATGAGTGGCAGGCCAGCAGGTCGCACATGCAGCACAGCTCAACTAATCGAGCTACGTGTACATGCATGTGCACACCAGCCTACCACTCTTGTGGTCCAATTCCCCTCTCCCCCACTCCCAGCCAGGCTGCCCAGCCACAAAGGTTGGGGACCGCTATTCTATTGTACACTGGACAGCAGTATATTGTAGGTCTTGCAAGACTGTATTTTATAATTTAAAAATGTTAAGTTGATATGTGATTTCATAGATTTTTTTTTAAATAAAGTTTGGTTTTTCTTTATCTCTTGTGAGATTATTCAATCTCCCAAAAGGTAGGCAGACCGATATCTTTAATATTATCTTTAGAACATGGTGCTAGAATAATTATTTCATTCTTGTCATCTATTTACAGAAAGGTAGCAGGGCATGGAAGTCTTATTTCTCACACACACCAGAGGTAAGGCATCTCTTGGGAAATTCAGTGGTAGAAATGGAAACTACTACCAAGTTCTAACCTTGGGCAGAAAATAGGACCAGAGTGAAGACTAAAAGATTTCAGAAAGGAGGCTTGAGACTTTCCAGTTTATCACTACATACAGTATATGATCACCTCCTCTGACCTCATAGCCACCAGATGTGCTCAGAGTACAACACTTCAAATTCTCATTCCTTGGGATTTGTAGTCTTAACACATCTGTGGACAGGCAGATTAGGGAAAGCTGGTATAAGCTGATTACTTTGCTACTGCCAGAAATAAAATTATTTGATAGTAGTTATTCCTTTTTGCCAAAGATGACTATAGAAATGATTTCTGAGTAAAGATGCTAAGATTTTCTTTGTTTATGACAAGATCCTGTATAACTTTAGGTTGTATGTCTTTAACTGAACACCCAAATCCAATTAGATGTGTTAAAACATGTCTAAGGTATCTGTATTCTCTTTACGCTTTCTTTCTTTCTTTCTATCTATCATTTTACATCCTTTATTCTATTTTCTATCAAAATGGCATGCAATGCTTCTAAAAATGCAACAAGGCAAAGTTAAAAACAATAATTGCTCTATAATTAAGCAGCCATTCAAAAAATATCAGAGACAATACTAAAAGTTACAGGAAGTTAAGTATTTTACAATGTTAACAATATTTTGCAAGATATTGTGCAAAAGACAGCAGAATCTCAGTGCTACCACCAAGAACACTCTGCTTCTTACCCTTAGCTGCTATCAAACCTGGATGAAGCAGAGTATAGTACCATCAAAAACTAAAAGCAGTTTAGTACCTGTTTAAATATAAGAGTACCTGTTTAATGAACCTGGGTATAGTTATATATGTACTTATAAAGTAATCATAAATTTAGTGAAGTTTCTTGTTGGGTAATGTACATAAAATTGCATTCTAAAAGGCTGTCCGTCTCAAAACACAATAAAGCAAATTAACATGTTCTATATAAAAATAAAAAACTTATATTGTGCAAACAACCCAAGAAAACCTTTAGACCAGTGTTCCGCAACCTGGACAATTTTAAGCTGGACTTCAACTCCCAGAATTCCCCAGCTCCCCAGAATCCTGGGAGTTGAAGTCCAACTCAGCTTAAAATTGCCAGGTTGGGAAACTCTGCTCTAGAGACTTATGCACGTGCTGGGAAAAGGAATGGGCGGCTCAAAAGCAAGGCAGCCAAATCTCTAAATAGTAGAGTAACCTACTTGTAAAGCAACAGGGAGTTGCAAACCAAGCTCGTGTTATTCCCCACGGGGAAAACCCAGTATTAATATTATCCAAGACGGTGCCCACACCTGAATCCCTCCCCCCCATGCCAAAAGGGCCTCACGTTGCAATTCCCCACCCTTCTCCACCCAGACAGCTTTTCCAGGTCACATGACCAAGAATCATATGATGCCAGAATCTTCACATACGATCTTCCCCTTTTGCCGGCCCTTCGCCGGAGCACTCCCACCTCCGAGCGTGCTATTGGCTACCAGGCCGCAGGCGGGCGCGCCATTGGCCAGCCTTAGGGCTTTCCTCGCCTGCTACTGGTAGACTTGTGGGCTTCTGGGCCCGCCCTCTTTTCTTCTTGGAAAGTGACTTGAAGTTGGGATCGCAGCGACCGCCGCTGGAGGGAAGCGAATCAGAAGTTCAGGCCAGGGACCGTCGGGGGGCGGGGGAAGAGGCAGAAGGGCGATTGGAGGGGAGGAGGGAGGAGGGAGAGACCCCTGGAACCCCAGAGGCAGTTTTGCCTAGTGGTGAGACCTCCAGAAAGTGGAAGCCAGGGAGTGCAAGGGAATGGATCTATGGGGCAGAATCTAGACTGCCTATAGCAAGGGGATCGTATCTTGGATCTGGAGGGAAATTGGGAATCGAGTCCTAGGCTACGACCTCCTTGCTTTCTCGGGGGGGGGGGGGGAAGCAGTCGTATAAGTTGCCTGCTTTTGGGGGTGCGGGCGAGCGGGGAGGGAATTGAAGTGGTCCCGGTGTTTCCCCCTAATTTAGAGGAATCCGGGGAAATCGGGGCAGGAGAGTTAAGGAGCCCAGGCACCCCGTGTGTCCCCAGCGCCAGGCTGGAGAGTGCAGTGGTTAGAGCACTTCGCCATGGATGACCCCGAGGAGACCTTTGGGGGAGATGGAGATGGCAGCCCGGCGCCTTACGAGGAGCTGGTGTCCGTGATGGCCGGTGGTTTGTACGGGGAACTGGAGCGGCTGGTGGGCGCCCACGGCCCTACCGCGGTCTCTGGGCTGCTGCCGCAGGTGGTTTCCGTCCTGGAGGCCCTGCAGGAGGCTTGCGGGCAGGTGAAAGACCGGGACCAGGCACTGGAGCGGCTGCGCGATGACCGTCTGCGGCTCCTGGAGCAATACGAGCGCGAACGGGCAGGGCGCAAGCGGGCAGACGAGGTGGGTATCGCCTTCCGCTCCGTCGGCGGCGGCGTCGACTAACTTTTACGATCTTCAGACCTTGGTTTAAGTCTCAGCTGGCGACGGCAGAGGAGAGAGAGGGACGGTCCAGCAATTCCTGATCAGAGAGCTTACATGCCAACTGGTGCCAGCCGGAGCTGTCGGGCAAGATGATTGCCTCCTCCTCCTCCTCCTCCTCCTCCTCCTCAGCGGTCGGGAGGGGCGCTCTCCTGCCCGACAAGCCACAACGCGAAAAACTTTTTATATTCTCATCTTCTTGTCTCGTCTAATGAAACTTTCCCAGGAAGACTTGTGTAATCAATAGCAAACCAAGACCTCTCCTGCCCTGGAGACAGACAGACAGACGTGGTTATTCATGGCTAATGCTGCCACGGGTTAACTGGGAAAGCTGAATTGGACTTCTGTCAATTCCCAGAAATTTTTGACAAAAAAACCCAAAAACAAACCACCAGCGAAGGCTCCTGAGCGAAGCAATCGGTCCTGATATGAGACAGATTGTCAGTACAATAAGTGGTTAAAGAAGAGAACGTAGACATAAGCAGCCTCTTCACCAAAGAAGGCAAACGAGATTGATCCAAGGTTTTATACTGGCATTTTTCACCAGATGAGTGAAATGCCACGTTTGCTGACATTTCCGAATAACGTTTGATAGTTCAGGTCAAAGAGCAGTTTGCTCTATAGATACCACTGAGTCAAACTCAACTTCTGGATAAAGTCTCACCCCCAATAAGACCTCTTTCGAGGACATTCCAGTTATCACTTTGATCCTGTCCCTACATCTTAGTCATAATTTTTCTGATATTTATCATTCTCCTGATTTGTCAATCCTCCACAGTTTTCTAAAAGCATTTTAATGTTTCTAGTTCCACAGCATTGTCATTTCAACCCTTATTTGATCCAGAACCAGTTGACTCCTTGCAATTCATAGGAACTGTCTCCAGATTCCTGATTTAAAATGTATATATTTTGTCTTTCGTCCTTTTTTGAGTTTTCATTGATACTTCACGGGGTTCAATATGAGCTAATGACCTGTGATATGTATCAGAGTAAAAATTCTTATCTTCAGAAGTCAACTTAACTGCTGCTTTAATGTAAGGTGGAAGGTGACTCTGTAAACCACTTAGAGAGGGGTGTAACGCACTGTAAAGTGGTATGTAAGTCTATTGCCTTGAGTTACTTCTAAAGGTGGGGAGGACAACGATGGCCTTTTTAAGACATGTGGACTTCATGGACTCCATGCTGGCTCAGGAATTCTGGGACTTGAAGTCCACAAGTCATAAAGGGGCCATCGTTCCCACCTCTGTTCTAAAGGAATAAAGGCGGAATAATATCTACTAATTAAATTAAAAGGGGCACTGTCATGTTGGACAAGGTCTTTTAATCTAAAATATTAAAATGATGAGGGTTTTTTTAGTTTAGGCAAAAAAAGACGCAAATATGGGGAAAATGATCAGAAGTGTATAAAATGATGTTCTGTGTCGAAAGGGAGATAAGGATTTTTTTCAATTCTCAATAGACCTAGGATGATCCAATGGACCCTAACGGTAAAAGGATAACAAAAAAATAAAATAAAATGTGTAGATAAACAAGATGTGATGGTGAATTGTGTGGCTTCAAAAGAGAACAAATTCATGGAGGATAAAGTTACTCAATAACTAATATTCAAGCTTCATTGGGAAGCCAAAATGCTACTTTCATATCATGGCAAGAAAATTGTGTGTATGCATCCATATAATTCACCAGGAGCCAAAATCCACAGAAGTATTTGTGTGTGTGTGTGTGTGTGTGTGTGTGTGTGTGTGTGTGTGATGACTATTTTCTATTAAATCCAATACCAGTGGCAATACAGTTACTAGGAACACAAAGGGGATTATTGGGTTTTGTGATCAGAGGAGAAAACAAACAGTACTAATTTATTCATTCTCTTTATATGCCACTCACAATCTTAAAGTAATGTTGGGACCCTATTTTGCTAAAACAACAACTGCTCAGGTTTGTCTTGATTAGGAAAAGAATGTCCCTAGGCCAATGAAATAACCTTACGCTGATAGATAAATCTTAATGCATAAGTGGCAATAATTTCACACTGGATATGGTGGGTGAGCATTTGAACTGGAGTAGTAAAGGTATGAGGCAGAGAAGTAATTGGCCTGAAGGAAATCAGCCTGAAGGGATGGTGAAAGCTTGGAGAGATCAACTAGATCTGTAACAAGAGGAGGGGTTGATTCTTGGATTCTCTTTCCTAGCGATTCATGGAATTGGAGGACATGATGGATCAGGAACGGAAAGCGCATTCAACAGCTGTGAGCCAGTTAGAGGGCCAGAGCCGAATCCTGGACAGCAAAGCACGAAGCTATGCAGATCAGGGTAAGAATTATTTTGCCAAATATCTGTATGATGCCAATGTACTACTATTCCATATTCTCTGTCAACCTGTAATGAGCCCCATCTGTCTCTTGAGGGTGTAGATTTGCCATGATATGGATAAAATAAATTCAAGTAGCAGGCGTCCAGTTAGTATCTTTTCTCTCATCTTTGCTTGTAGGAACATACAGTCCCTCCTATGCCCATCCCATAATAGGCATGCCCCATTCTGTGCCCTCGCACATCTCCACTTTTGACAGCTCTAGCTAGACTGGTCTATCTCGTTAGCCAAGATTGGGTGTAAGAGAAGAGACACAGTGTAAGTTACATAAACATTTTATTCAAGGTACATCAAAATCATTAGGAAATATAGATTAAACTGCTGTGCAGTTTTGGAGATGAGAGTTGAAGGCCATTGAACTGAACAGGGTTTAACAGCTGGATCAATGAAGAGAATTTGATTGCCTATCACAATATTTCAAGTGATGCAGTTTTGCTGGATTTTAGCTTCTGTTTAGCAGATAAGCCTGATAATTATTTTAAGTTTACAGCTAATAAAATATTCTATTATGGAAACACTTTAATAATGCTATTGGCATTTGTCAAAATGTTAACTCACTGCTTCACTGCCTCCCTTTGTGTGAAGGTTTGTTTTAACAGGATTATATATGATCCCTAATTGTATCTATGTATTTTTCAGACATTGCTCAAAACAGCCTATTTAAGAATTGCCATAGAAAAGAGAATATTCTATTAACGTTGCTTTTTTTCAAAAACCAGTTCCAGAACATGCAGATGGTTATTTTTTTTAATGCTAATTTTAATTAAAGTTAGTTTTATTTTTTTCAGTTCCCAATTTTATTTTTCACATTTCTATCCCACTGCAATCAAACAATACTTGTCAGCTTATGTAGAATATAGAACAGATAAAAACATCCATGGTTTTGGAAGAATCATTCTTCCTTGAAAAAAAAGTGCTGTATACTTAGCATAAAGCATTGCTAGCAAAAGTCTCTGTTGCCTTACAAAAATGAGAAGATTTGTATAAGTCCATCCTATAAATTTCTTCTTTGAAATAGACTTTTCCACATTCAAATGAGATTGATTCCCAAATGGATGTAGAATTACAGCCTCAGCATTCTCTGCATTAATCTACAACATTAGGGTATTTTTCACACAGGAGGTTATTGGAACTGGATCATCAGAGTTAAATCTTCCAGGAAATGGATCCTTCCTGCTCTGTTTCCCACTTGAGCTGTGCAAATAAAATATGAGGAAAATATTTTAGCATTAAACAGTTTGAACAGTTTGAAAACAGCCAAGTTAAGGTTGATTTAAGGTCTTGTTAGTGAGAAAAAAACCCACCATTCTCTTGCTTCACAGTGGCTGGCTTGGAGGAACAAAAAACTTCACTGCTCAAGGAGATTTCGATTCTCAATCAGAGCCACACAAAGGTACTTTTGAACAATCGGAGTGTTTCCGTGGCCCTTCTCACCTCCCCTCCCCTTCTCTTTCCCAGCCAAACCACTGTCACACTTCCTCTTCTATTTCTTTCAGATGGTACAAAGTTACAAAGAACTGAGATCACAAAAAGCAGCATCAGCTGGTCCAGGACAAACTACTACTTCATCCACAGAAAATAAAAGGTTTGGAAGGAGGGAGGGAAGGACTGTGTGTGTGTGCAGGATTTTAGGACCAAAGCAGGAAAGATGCCTGGAGAAGTTGTGAGGTAAGGTCAGTGCCCTTTAAGTGGCTTCTTTTCCTGGCTGTGCACTCCCAGGAAAATATTTTTTGAGGTCTGGAAGCACTGATAGTGCTCATTTCAAAAAAGCTTGTTGGACTTAATTCAAACATGTGTTTTCCTGAGATAAATGCAGCTCAGGAAAAGATACCATTTCCTTAAGAAGGTATCAACAAGGACAGTGTCTATGCCCACCCTCCTCCTCCGAAGCCACTTTCTTTTGCTTTAGATCCCCCCTCCCCTTGCTGAAAGGAAAATTTGGGATCTTCTAGAGCCGTGATGGCGAACCTATGGCACTCGTGCCAGAAGTGGCACACAGAGCCATCTCTCTGGGCACGCGAGTCATCGCCCATTGCTCTTCCAGGTTCTGGCACACCAGCCAGCTGGTCTTCACACATGTGAGAGTGCTGGAAACCAAAAGAGTAGCCAAGATGATTTTCTGGTTTCTGACAGGCACAGGCGCCCTGGCCAGCTGGTCTTCGCATATGCATGCGCGGCAGAAGCCGGAAGACCAGGTGGCCGGTGCACATGTGTGTGGTCCCATTTCGGCATTTGGTGCCGAAAAGGTTCGCCAACACTGTTCTAGAGAGTCCTTATACTGAGTAGAGCAGAGTCTCTCTTATTGTCAAAGAAGAAAATTTTTGTCCATGATCCTGGCTCAAATCAACAAGTTTGACTTCATCGTGTGTTACTGATTAATGATTTTCTACTCCTTCACTTACAACCGTTCACTTAGCAACCATTCAAAATTGTGACAGACGCCCTCCCCAAGATACTTATGACCCAGTTCCAAAGTTCCTATTACTGCACTCCATCTCATCCTCCCACAGTCATGAGACCACATTTTGGTGCTCGGCAACTGGCCCGCATTTATGGTTGTTTGCAGTATCACTTGGTCACATGACTTTTACAATGCTTTTGCCGAAACCCTTCATTTGCTTCCTGTTTCCAGCAAAAATTACCAAGATCCGTGCCAATCGAGTTAGAGGCCCGGTTACAGCATGGAGACGGCATTGGTCGCGCTGGTGGATGCTCTCTGGAGGGCTCGGGACAGGGGTCATTCCTCGGTCCTGGTCCTATTAGATCTCTCGGTGGCTTTTGATACCATCGACCATGGTATCATGCTGCGACGCCTCGAGGGGTTGGGAGTAGGTGGCACCGTTTTACAGTGGTTCGCCTCCTACCTCTCGGGTTGTACGCAAGTGGTGTTGGCAGGGGGGCAGAGGTCAGCCATGAGGCCCCTCACTTGTGGGGTGCCCCAGGGGTCGGTCCTCTCGCCCCTTCTGTTAAACATTTACATGAAGCCGCTGGGAGAGATCATCCGTGGTTTTGGGGTGGGGTATCATCAGTACGCTGATGATACCCAGCTTTTTATATCCACCCCGAACCAGCCTAGTGATGCCCTCGATGTGATGTCCCAGTGCCTGGAAGCGGTACGGATCTGGATGGGGAGTAATAGGCTTCGACTCAACTCGGCCAAGACCGAGTGGCTGTGGATACTGGCATCTCGGGCCGAGCAAGACGTTCCAACGCTGTCTATTGGGGACGAGGTGTTGCCCCCCGTAGACAGGGTGCGCAACTTGGGCGTCCTCTTGGATTCACGGCTGAGTTTGGAGGGTCATATCACGGCCGTGACCAGGGGGGCATTTGCCCAGGTTTGCCTGGTGCGCCAGTTGCGCCCATACTTGGACCAAGATGCCCTACACACAGTCACTCATGTGCTAGTCACCTCCCGGATCGACTACTGCAATGCTCTCTACCTGGGGCTGCCCATGAAGACCACCCGGAGGTTTCAGCTGGTACAGAATGCGGCCGCACGGGTTGTTGCGGGAGGGACCCAATACTCCCATATTACACCACTCCTGCGCGGCTTGCATTGGTTGCCGGTTGCCCTCCGGGTGAGATTCAAGGTGCTGGTGTTAACCTATAAAGCCCTTCATGGCTTAGGCCCAGGCTATTTGTCGGACCACCTGCAACCAGCGTCAACTTCCCATTGCCCGGTCCGCTCTCACAGAGAGGGCCTACTCAGGGTGACGTTGGCTAGACAATGTCGGCTGGCGACCCCCAGGGGTAGAGCCTTCTCTGTGAGCACCCCCACCCTCTGGAATCAACTTCCCTTGGGGCTCCGGTTGGCCCCTGACCTTCGTACCTTCCGCCGTGAATTGAAAACCTGGCTATTTATGTCCCCCGGCCTAGACTGATGGGGTAGTATATTTTAAATTTTTAAAAAACTTTTTTTATTCTTTTGTGTATATTTGTTGTTTTTAACAGTCACTTGGTCGATTGTCGTTGTGAGCTGCCCTGAGTCTTTGGAGATAGGGCGGCATACAGATTTAATAAACAAACAAACAAACAAACAAACAAACAAACAAACAAATAATAAATATAAATAAATAAATAAATAAAATCTCCCAAGTGAACAATGGTCATAAAATTGGTCAGACACGTGATGACCATCATGACTTATGACCGAAATCGGCAGCCTCAGTTATGGTTGTAAGTTGAGGACTACCTGTAATAAATTAAGATATAAACCATGATGGCGAACCTATGGCATGCGTTCCAGAGGTAGCATGCAGAACCCTCTCTGCTGGCATGCATGCTGTCACCCCAGGTCAGATCTCCGTGGCATTTCTTTCCTGAGCTTCTGTTTCCCTGCAAACAATGAAACAAAAGCTCACGAAAGAAAAAGATTTTACCTCTTGCCGCACTGCCGGTGTTGGGATGCCCCGCCTCCTGCCGGCCAGCTGGTCTTCGGGTCTCTGCTGTGCATTTGCGCATGTCCCTGCATGTGCAGTTTGGGCACTCAGTGTCTAAAAGGTTCACCATCACTGATATAAACCAATAATTTGAAATTCCACAATGGCTGGGTGAATTCTGAGATGATAGGGAGTTGCAGGATGTCCCAGTTAGCCACATACCACAGGAGCCAATCCATCACTGTTGTTGACCATTTGCAACGGAAGGAAAGACTTCTGTGCTTGTCCAGCAATAGCATATTGAAATAAAGGCAGTTCTGAACTCTGGCTTGTAACGCACAGGCAACTGCCACAATTTGCACATATTCAAGATTAGTTAGCTTTGTGTATGTGTATGTGTTTGTGTATGTATGTATATGTGCAGTGACATTTACCTCCTCCATAGCTATGACAATTAGTTGTTCCCAAAAGACTGGGTAGAGATAGATTGCTACTGAGTCCTTTAACTACCTTCAGAAATCATGCAGGGCACTGCAGAGAAAGCCTTATTTGGTGACAGGTTTACTGTATTTCATTCAAATCTGGCTAGTATTTGCCTTCTCTTGCCTTTTAAAAAGATAACAAATAAGTCTCCCAGGCCATTAACAACAGCAATAAACTATTCATCTTTCTGTTTTTATTCAGTGTGTTATATCGGCGCCCCAAAGGTATTTTTTCCAAAAGGCAATTGGACTTTCTTAGGTTTTTTTTCCCTTAGAAAACCTTTTGCTTCTCATCCAAGAAGCTTCTTCAGTTCTAACTGACTGTTGGGGAATGGATGGATTTATATTCTTTGCAGGCATCTGGTCATTAGGACTCTGCATTTTGCAGATGATTGCAAAGAAGACAAATCCTTCCGCTCCCCACAAGTCAGAACTGAAGAAGCTTCTTGGATGAGAAGCCAGCAGTTTTCAAAGGAAAAAAAACCCAAATCCAGTTGCCTTTTGTAAAAAGCACCTTTGGGACAACCATGACCTGGATGATTGAGATTCTTCACAGACATATATATTAGTACCCCTTTAAAAATGTTTTTTTGGGGGGGAGGGAAGGAATAATGTGTGCCTATTTTAATTATATTGATAATTAGAGTAGTTTAACTACTTGCCTTCGAGGGTGCAAAGAGAAAATATCTGCTGCAAACTTCAGGAAAGGCATCCAGCCAGTAAATACTCAGCTCTATTCAGTTACCCCAACTCCACCCTGAATAAAGGGATTAAAGGGTCTTTAAAAAGAAATACTGCTTTTAAGTAGGGTGGAAGGTATAAGAAATGGCACTGACCTAAACTTTCCAAGACATTTAAACAGACCAAGGCAGACATGAGAAAATCAAGATCTTTTTCTTCTTTCTCCCTCAATGAACAGGTTGAAGCCTCCACCACTTCGTGTACCTCCAGAGTTTCTATCAAGCCCCTCAGACTTGAAGCCTCCTGAGACCTCAATGGTAGGTGGAATCTGGTGAGGGGTTAAGCTCTGATGGCTGCAGTGATGGCTGAGGGGGCATTAAGGGGAGCCATAAAACAAATTCTGCTTTTTCTCTCCATCTGCTGGATCTTTTTAGGAACATGGAGAAATGAATGAACTTTCTCATTCAGAGAAAACGCCCCAGAAGGTTGCAGAAAGAAATGCGTTTCCCTTGGCACAGGAAATTCAGCCAGAAAAGGATGGTATGAAGGATATTTTCTCTTTCTCTCTTTGGTAGGATCAGTTTTAATCCCAAACTGGAGTACTATTTCAAGTAGATTAAGACAGGTCCCTATGGTTTTCTTGGCAATATTTTTCATGAGTGCTTGGTCACTACTTTCTTCTTCCTAGGGTTGAGAGAAAGTAACTAGCCCAAAGTCACTCAGTGGGTTTTTGTCCCTAAGGCAGGACTAAAAATTCATGGTTTCTTGCCTAAATGTTTTTAACTCCTGCATGATGGATTTGTGGATGTGGGGATACTGGGGCCAACATTTTTTTCCTCATAGTGATTACTTTTGCTCAGGAATCATCTGCTGGAGCCTCAGACAATAACAAGTGCTGAAACAAGCAGAGCTCTGTGTCAGCCTTAATACTAACAGCCAATTTGATCTAGGCACCAGGCTAGAAACCAGGAGACGGTGAATTCTAGTCCTGCTTTAAGATGAAAGCAGGCTGGATAACTTGGGGCCAGTCACTCTCTCTCAGTCCAATTCATCTTGTTGTTTTTTGGGGGGGGGGAAATAGGAGGAGAAGTGCCCTGAGTTATTTATAAAAACAATAAAGGCAAAGTAATGAATGAATGAATAAATAAATACCAATATCACTTTTTTCTTTTTCTGATACTCTTCTTCCTTTCTCCCTCCCTCACCCCTCTTCTTTCCCTTTCTGGTACTCTCTTTTCTCCTTCTCCCAAATAGCAAACTGTAAGGAAGGGGCAGGTAAATTTTCTGAACTAATTGATTGCCAAAGGCTGCGGATAATAGTCACCAGCTAGATGTGCCTCTTTGAGTTTAAGTTGCTGATCCCCAGTCTCTAACACTGTGCTCTTATTTGCTTGGCTGTATCTCTCAGTGGTCTTTGAGAGAGGTCCTTCTCCACCTGTGCTCCTACAATAGCCAAAAACTGAAGTTATGGCTTTCTCTATGCCTAAACTATGCTCCACTGACTTTAACGAAAAGCTGTGGTGGTGCAGTGGTTAGAATGCAGTATTGCAGGCTAACTCATTGCTCACTCCAGGAGTTCGATTCTGAGCGGCTCACGGTTGACTCAGCCTTCCATCCTTCTGAGGTGGGTAAAATGAGGACCCAGATTGTTGGGGGCAATATGTTGACTCTGTAAACCACTTAGAGAGGGCCATAAAGCACTGTGAAGCGAAATATAAGTCTAAGTGCTATTGTTATTGGAAGTCACACTTGCCAGCTTTGAATTACTTGCAGTGTGGATAATAGAGTTCTGAAGTGATAGAGTGGGCTGTGTAAGTTTAGGTTAGAAGCCATTGTGGGATCTCTCTCTGGGTAAAGGCTCATACAAATGAAAGCAAGAAGGTTGGACGGAATGTTTTTTCTACTGTGTTTTACGGGTAGTTTTCAATTTACTCATAATAATTGAGCCCAAAATATCCATAGCTAAGCGAGACAGTTGTTAAGTATGTTTTGTCCTATTTTATGACCTTTCTTGCCACAGTTGTTAAGTGAGTCACTGCAGTTGTTAAGTTAGTAACACAGTTGTAAAGTGAATCTGGCTTGTCCATTGATTTTGTTTGTCATAAGGTCACCTGATCCCAAGACACTGCAACTGTCATAAATATGCACCAGTTACCAAGCATTTGAATTTTAACCATGTGCCCATGGGGTTGCTGCAATGGTCATAAATGTGAAAACGCTCATAAGTCACTTTTTCAGTGCCATTGTAATTTCGAACAGTTACTAAACGAATGATTATAGATTGAGGATTACCTGTACAGATCCTTACTTAAAAGTAAATCTAGGAATTCTTTCTGACTGGGGAATTCTGGAAGTTGAAGTCCACACATCTTTTTTTTTTTTAATTAAAGAGTTTTACAAAAAAATTTTTTACAAATATTTCCCCCTCCCCCCCTCCCTTACCCTCACCCCTCACCCCCCCACCCCGAACTTCCCGGAACAAAATACAGGGTATAACAATTAACAATAATATACTAAACAAAGCTAACTATCTATGGACTCCTATCCCCCCCTTCACATTTTAACTCCCCTTTTACTTAACTAAATATGAATACTCTTAATTTTTCTATTCATTCATAAGCTATTTGATACTTTTTAGTCCGATATTTGTTTTGAATATAATCAATCCATCTTCTCCATTCCGATATATATCTTTCTTGTGAATAATCTTTCAAATATACTGAAATTTTTGCCATTTCTGCTAAATTCGCTACTTTTAATGTCCATTCTTCAATAGTAGGCAAATCTTCCTTCTTCTAATATTGCGCCTCCAAAAGTCTAGCTGCAGTTATTAAATTTAAAATCAATTTAGTCTCTATAACCGTACAATCTGTAATTATACCCAACAAAAACAACTGTGGAATAAACCTTATCTTCTTTTTAAGAATATTTTGGATAATCCACCATATTTTAATCCAAAATGCTTTAACTTTTTTACAGGTCCACCATATATGATAATAGGTAGCATCATCACAATTGCATCTCCAACACTTAGATTGCAAATTCGGATACATACAGCCTAACTTTTTAGGATCTAAATGCCATCTGTAAAACATTTTATAAAAATTTTCTCTTAAATTTTGCGCTTGTGAAAATTTCACATTTCTAACCTATATTTTTTCCCAAGTTTCCATCATTATTGGTTCCTGAATATTTTGTGCCCATTTTATCATACAATCCTTAACTAATTCCGTTTCTGAATCTATTTCTATCAATATATTATATAATCTTTTCATATGCATTTGGCTTTGATCTCTAATTTGTTTTACCAAATTTTCCTCGTTCTGCATGATACCGATTCTCTGCTCTTCTTTCCATCTAGCTTGCAGCTGTCCATACTGAAACCAAGTTTGAATTATCCTTTCTTCTTTTAATGCATTTAAGGACTTTAACTGCAATATACCCCCTTCCATTTTAAGAAGCTCTTTATAGATAATCACCTCTTGCTTTTGTTCTACACTTATATTCTCTATCGCATGTCTGAGTATTGCCCATATAGGTATCTTATAATTTAACTTATATTGATACTTTTTCCAAACACGTAACAAGGCATTCCTTAGTATATGGCTTTTAAAGGTCTTATCCACCTTCTTATCATATAATAAATAAGCATGCCAACCATATAACAAATCATATCCTTCAATATTCAATATTCTTTCTTCTGTTGAATTAATCCAGTCACTGATTATTGATAGGACAGCTGCTTCATAGTATAATCTTAAATTAGGCATTTTAAGACCTCCTCTTTCACGTATATCTTGTATTATTTTTAACTTTATTCTTGGTCTTCTCCCTGCCCAAACAAAATTATTAATACCCTTCTGCCATTCCCTCAAATTTACATCTTTCTTGAGTATTGGTATCATTTGGAACAAAAATAAAAACCTGGGTAAAACATTCATTTTTATTGCTGCTATTCTTCCCAACAAAGATAATTGTAATTTTCCCCAATTCTCCATCTCTTTCTGTATTTTTTGCCATAACAATTCATAATTATTTTTATATAATTTCACATTTGAAGCTGTAATATATACCCCTAAATATTTAACCTTTTTTACTATTTCAAATCCCGTTAATCTTTCTAGTTCTTCTATTTGCTTTACCGTCATATTTTTAGTTATTATCTTTGTTTTTTGTTTGTTTATTTTGAATCCAGACACTTGTCCATATTGGCTAATTATGTCCATTAAACCTATAACTGATTGTACTGGTTGAGTTAAAGTAACAACCAAGTCATCCGCAAATGCTCTTAGTCTATAATCATGATGTCTAATTTTAATTCCCTTTATTTTATTTGACCCTCGTATTTTATTCAATATAAGTTCCAAAGTTAAAATAAACAATAATGGTGACAAAGGGCACCCCTGTCTTGTTCCTTTTTCAATTTTAAAAGTTTCTGTTAAACCACCATTAATTATTATTTTTGCTGTTTGTCTCTGGTATATTGCCCTAATAGATTGTATAAAATACTCTCCAAACTGCATCTTTTCTATTATTTTCAATAAAAATTGCCAATTCAATAGATCAGATGCCTTCTCCACATCCAAAAAAATAAGCGCTGCGGGGACTTGGTTGTTTCTTTCCAAATATTCCAATAAATTTACAAGTTGTCTTACATTACATTTCATTTGTCTCCCACTTATAAATCCAGATTGATCATTATGAATCACTTGTTGCATAATTATCATTAACCTATTTGCTAATATTTTAGCAAAAATCTTATAATCAGTGTTTAAAAGCGATATTGGCCTATAATTTTTGGGTTGACTATGATCTTGATCCTCCTTTGGGATCAATGAAATAAAAGCTGTTCTCCAGGATGGGGGTACATCTCCTCCAGCTTGAATTTTGCTAAATAATTCCTTAAGTTTCCACCATTTCTAACTGCAAATTTTTATAATAAACAGCTGTCAGTCCATCTGTGCCTGGAGCTTTACCCCCTTTTAACTGCTAAATTAAATTAATTGCTAAAATAATTTCCTCCGAAGTTATTGGTTGGTTCAATCCTTCCCTTTGCTCTGGTGTAACTACAGGAATATTCTCTTCCTGTAAATATCTATCTATAACTTTACCTTGAATTGTATCACTAGCATATAACTTTGTATAAAATTCTAAAAAAGCTTTTTTAATCATATTTTGTTGATATACCCCTTTACCTTTGTATTCTATTTTTTCTATAGTACGTAGCTTTTGTTTTTTCCTTAACAAATAAGCTAACTATCTACCTGGTTTATTCGCATTACAAAAAGTATTATGTTTAGCATATTGTAAATTAGTTGCCACTTGGTCTGCCATCAGCATATTAAACTGCCCTTGCAACAAATTTATTGTTTCCTTTATTTTCTTATCTGTTGGACTCAATATAAGTGCCTGCTCTTTCTTTTTTATTTCCTCTTCTAAATCCCTCCATTTCTTTTCTTGTCTACGTCTATATTTATTATTCAAATGTATTAAAATTCCTCTCATATATGCTTTACTTGCATCCCAGACCATCTCCATAGGTGTACCCTTGTGCATATTCATAACAAAAAATTCTTTCATTTGTTTTTTACATTCTTTCACATTTTCCTCATATCTAAACAAATTTTCATTTATCCTCCAAGACCTTCTAGCTCCCTTTTCTTGCTCAAATTCCATCCACACCGAGCTATGATCAGTTAAAGTTCTTGAACATATCTTCGTCTTATTCAACCTAGAAAAAAAATCATTAGTGATTAGTATAAAATCAATCCTGGAAAAAGACTGGTGTCTATCAGAAAAAAAAGTAAAGTCCTTTTCTTCAACATTTCGTTCTCGCCAGATATCTCTCAGCTCCATATCATCCATCATATCAAAAAAAGATTTAGGCAATCTAGCACGATTTTGGGTGTTTTGAAATAATCCTTTTTTGTCCTTTTGAGTATCCAATACTCCATTCCAATCACCCATTAATATACACGATTTGTAATCCCATTATATTATTTTGGTGTGCAAAAGCTTATAAAATTTTTCTTGCTATTGGTTGGGAGCCTATACTCCAATTAAGAGTGTTTTCTTCCCTTCTATTAAAAATTCAATTGCGATGTATCTTCCTTGAACATCTGCCTCAATTAGTTTGGCTGTTAAATCTGTCTTTAGGTATATAACTATACCGTTTTTCTTCTCTGGAGCAGATGCAGCAAAATGTGTTCCCAATCTTGAATTTATCAAATATTTTTGATCTGTCACTCTAATATGTGTTTCTTGTAGACAAATTACATCATTTTTAAACTGTTTCAAATAGTGAAATATTTTCTTCCTCTTTTGCGGTGAATTTAAGCCATTAACATTCCAGGTCAAAAATTTAATTGCCATTCTTGGCACCTTGAAGCTTCTGGAGCGCTAGCTGGAAATCCTCCTGCACCTTTCTCTTCGGCCTTGCTCCTCCGACTGCTTCTGTTTTTGTAGTTTCTTGAACTTTCATTTGGGTTTGCTGTATCTTTAAGTCTTGTTCTCTTTGTTTGGCTGCAGCTCGGGTCTGTCTTTGATCTTTTGGTTCTTCTCTTTTTTCTGCTAATTCCAAAGGTTGAACAGTACCAAAAAATTGCAATAAATCTTCTTCAATAAGCGAAGTCTCTCCTTCAGCTTGTGGCTGTTTACCTTCCTTCTGTCCCTGTATTGCCAGCTCTTCTTTTCTTCTCCTCATTTCCGGAGATGATGGGCATCCAGCCTTTAAAACATTAGTATAAAAATCTTTTGCCTTCCAAATTATGTTAAGACGATGCCTTTCTCCCAAGTAATTCACTACTAGTCCAGCTGGAACATCCCATCTAAACTGGATCTGTCGGTTTCTAAGTTCATCCACCAAAAAAGCAAACTCTTTTCTGCTCCTCAACATTTTTGGAAGGATTTCTTTCAATACTAAAACCTCTTGTCCTGCCAGTTGGAATTTATTTTTATAGAAGGCTTGTAAAATTTCATTTCGGATCCTCCTCGTTGTAAAATAAATCACAATATCTCTTGGCAATTGTTTCTGTCTGGCAAACCAGGAATTAACGCGATATATTTTGTCAATTTGCAATGAAAGATCTGCTTGTTGCTCTACAGTTATCTTTGCAAAGGCCTCTGCAAAGATCTCTCTCAAATTCTCTCGATTGTGCTCTCTCAAACCTCTTACTCTCAGGGCAAACTCCATCGCTGTATATTGTAACATCACCACTTCATCTTCTACCCTATCCATCTTTATCTGAACTTCATCCATTTTATTTTCCAAATTCACATTAGACTGATTAATTTCTTTTACCCTTTCATCCAACAATTCAATGTATTTTGCCAGACCCTGAAATGCCATTACATTTCAGAGTCTGGCATTTCATATCTTCTCTTATTTCCTTATTCCGAGTTTGGATAACCTCCTTAATTTTAGCCATCTCATCAGACACTCACTTAATTTATCCTTCTAAAACAGAGGTTTGCTGCTTAAAAGCCTCCTGTAAAGACTCTTGTAAAACTTCCAAAGTCAATATTTGTGGATTTGAAGTAGACAAAGATTGTAGTTTTGATGGTTGTGCTGGTGATCCTCCAGCACTTTTAAAAGAGCAGGGTTGTTTTTGCTTAGAAGCCATTTTTAACTTTCAATTTATACTTCTTGCAGCAACCAAATCAATAAGTCCAATTATTTTTAAATCTTTTGTAAATATTGTAATTTATTTAAGTCCATACTGTAATCTTTCCACTTTAAATCTTTCTTTCTTTAATATAGAGTCCAATAACCTTGAACACCTTAAAAGCGCTAACAATGTTAACAATCACTTTCACTATAACTTTCACTTTTCCACGCCCTGTTACAGTTCAGATGCCATTTTTCCTTTCCTTTTTTAAGATGATCTTAGAAGGAAGAAATATGGATACAGAGTTAAAGTTCAGTACTTGCAGTTACTAGGACTCCTGTTTTTGTTCTGCCTGCTTTGGGATTAATTTGAAGCTGAATGTTGATTGCAGGGGTGGTTGCGGCATCTTGTTCTACTTAAAGCAGAAAAGTCCCGGATCCGGAGCTCTGTCGGGCTACCAGGGAGCTCTCACCCTTCAAGCCCCAGAATTATTCCTAGGGCTTTTGGGGAACTCTACCTTCGTCTGGCTGCTCGCCTTCCCCTCTTCTCCTGAGGGGAAGGTTTCCAAACTGCTAGACAGCTGATTTGCGCTGTCTTGGTGGTTTTACGAGATCGCGGGGCTGACGATCCGAAAGGAACATCTGCCAGCGCCTGCGGTGCCACCGGAAGTCCAAAGTCCACATATCTTAAAGTTGCCAAGGTTTGGACTCTGTCCTAAAAATCTGGGAGAGAGGGATAATAATAATCAATAAGAATAATAACATTTTTGTGATTTTCCCTTTCTTTTCTTGTCAGCTTCTCCTAGTCAATCTGGCTTTGATTTGGATGAACTTTTAAGCTCTACTCCAGAACTCAAATCTGACCCCCAAATGCAAAATAGGTAAGGGAAATGCATTCATTAATTATACTTCTAAGCAGAAAGCACAGGTTGGACCACTATAATTAATGTACACTTACTAGGGATACTTCTCCAGGGGAATAAAAACACACCTAGGTCTTTCTTTTCTGCCATCTTTATCTCAGCATGAACTTAATCTCATCCTCAATTATCTTCCCTTTCCAATCTCTTCACCCTTCTGGTGTTATCGTTTGATGGCTGTTAGCTCTTCTAGGTATCCCAATTTCTGTTTTGGAGGATCATGTACCATTGAGTTTGAGTTTGATGGCCAGACAGGTAGCTTTTCTCCTTTCACACATGTCTTCTGCAGCTGCTGTTTTGGAACCATTGCAGTCTTGGATGTAATGGAAGAAAGGTACAACCTTGAGGAGCAGGAGGAAGGGCTAAATGATGGCCAGATAAAAGAAATCTGAGTCTGGGACAGAAATATAATTAAAGAAAGTGTCTCAGACATGACCCTCCCTGATTCTCATGAAGATAAGGTGGGGAGGGGTCATTGAGACTTGCAGGGCTCTGTTACTGTAACCTTATATTAAAATTTATTTATTTATTTATTGGTTCGATTTATATGCCGCCCTTCTCCGGAGACTCAGGGCGGCTTACAATGCGTTAAGCAATAGCCTTCATCCTTTTGTATATACCTGCTTAGTAGGGCTTTGCCCCTCCCCCCCCCACGGTGTTCTTTTTTATACAAAGTCAGTTTATTGCCCCCACATACCGGGTCCTCATTTTACCTACCTCGAAAGGATGGAAGGCTGAGTCAACCTTGAGCCTGGTGAGATTTGAACTTGCAGTAATTGCAGGCAGCTGGTGTTACTTAACAGTGCTTTAGTCTGCTGCGCCACCAAGGCTCATAAAAGTAGTATTAACATTTTTGGTTTCCAAATTTGATCATCTTTGGACGACTGATAACATCCTTGCAAGTCTCAATGTGCTTTTTCCTATCGCCTCTTTTTATTTTTGTGAGAACTGAGGAGGGTCTTGTCTGAGATGCTATCTCAGGTTAGTGAGTTTTGGTTCTAGATTCCTTTTTATCTGACCTTTGTCTTGATTGTGGCTCTTCCTTCTGTTCCTCAAGGTTATCCCTTCTACCTCATGCATGGGATAGACAGAGAGGTGACAAACTGATGGCAACTGAATCCAAGTTCTTCTCCAGGGACCTTCCCTCAACACAGACATCATCCCTTGCCCCTTCACTGATTTCTGTTTAGTGTAGTGTTGCACATGGCTGTGTCTTATTGGCAGGATGGAGGTGGGTGGGGACTCTTGTCTATTTGTTTGTCTGTCTGTCTCTCAGCCCCTTGAATACCACCCTCGAGCGCAACACGGTCTCCCTTTTCGCTGAAGTTTCAGGCCTCAGCCCAGACCTCCTCACTGATATGGATGATGGTGCTGATTTGCAGGGTAAATATGTTTCTTTCTGCATTTCCCCCCCGCTGGGATTTAGAATTCAGGAATTGTCATTCCCCAAAACCCCTGTAGCTTTCTTTTAATGGGGCATTCTGATTTGGATGCATAAAGAGCAGATGTCAACTGATGTCCATGTGTACTGTTTTTGTAGGGGATGCCTTAGAAACCTTGTTAGCAGAAAACACTCAGCTTCAAGAAGCACGGTAAGACCAACTACCTAGCTTGCCATCTCAAATTAATGAAAGCCAGAAACCTTGTTAAACATAGATTCAGACCCGCTGTCTGTAAAACTGTTCATGTTTTAGTTGGCTTTAGAGGCATGTCCTTCTGAATTTTGAAGCTGGCTTTAAAATCTTTATGTCCTTGGCCATCCCATCTCCAGAATCGCTTTGGATACAGCCCGCCGCCATCTTATTAACCGCGTGGAGGAGCTCAGCGAAGAGCGTGAATCCTTACGGATGGAGAATGAGAGATCATTGATTGACCTGCGTAGCTGCCAAATGCAGCTGAAAGAAGCTGAGTTGGAAATTCTTCGGTAAAGTTTGGCCACTCTCCATATTTATTCCACCTCCCCATATTTATTCCACCTCTTTGTCTACAAAGGAACACTGGATTTGATAAAACAAAGTATAGCTAGACCTCGCTTACTGACTTCCTCATGCAGCTATTCAAAATTACGATGGTGCTGAAAGAATAATTTTACAACCAAGGCACACATTTATGACCTTCACAGCATTGCTCAGTTATTTGATTACCCCTACAATCATTACTTGTTATTATGTGTCTGATCAATTTTGTTCTTCCCCCATCCCCAATTGCAGACCAGAGGGATTGGAGAGGAAGGGATTATAGGAGAGTAAGCAGGCACACAAGGATGAATACACATCAGAGGAATACACTAGAACCATTTGTATGCCTGATGCACTTGGGGCTTAGAGCTACATGCACACTAGGGCTACCATATTTTTTTACTACTGTTTAAATGGTGCATTGGTTGTCGAAATAGATATTGTCTAGAACATCATTCTAGGAAGGACATTCCTTTTTATTTTAGAACTGATGACTAAAACAGGTTTAAAGATTGAGAAGAAAGTAAAATATCTCGGTATTGTATGTTATTTCAAAATAATTATGTTAAGATATGGAATTAAAATATGTTATGATGGAAGAAAGTACAATTGTCATTGCTGGAGAGATTTCTGTGGTAAAAATAAATATAGACCAGTGTTTTGTCAAACTTTTCATACTTGGTACTTTTAAGATGTGTGGACTTTAACTCTGAAAATTCTGGGAAAGTCCACATATCTTAGAGTTGTCAAGTTTGGAAAACACTTGAATAGACTATTGTGGGCCTTTCAAATTTTATGTTGGCTGTCTTTAATTTTTTTTTTAACCCTGGAGAATGTCTTCATTAAAAATTAATGTATGCGTATGAGGGCACTGAATTGGTTATGTGATTTCAGATCCAGTTTTAGGATATTAAACATCTATGAATTTAAAAAACAAAACAAAACATGTGTTCATATTTCTCTTTCAAACTTTGAATTTCAGGATCCGGCAGGAACTTAAGGAATCAAGGCGCTCCAGTGAGGAAGGAGAGGTAACCACCCAGGATCCCCATTCTTACCTGGCGGGTGTTGAAGTCTCTGGGATACAAAGGCAAGAGTGTATACCAACCCAGTGCCCTCCAGCTGTGTTGTGTGTTTCCATCCAAATGCATCTGGCTGGTAAAGTCTGGGAACCACCACCTCTACATCTGGAGGATACTAAGCTGGGAAGACTGGGCTTCTGGTAAAAGAGGATTCAGAACTTTGTATGGCGATGAATACCTGAGCTACTGAGTCAAGGCTTGTCATTTCCTCCACAGGGTGAAGGGGGGCTGCCCCGAACTCAGAGGTTCACCCGCGCGGAGATGGCACGCGTCGTGATGGAGCGTAATTTGTATAAAGAGAGACTGATGGAACTACAGGAAGCAGTTCGACGGACTGAGCTTCTGAGGTGAGCCATATTCAAAATTGCAGAGAGAGAGAAGAATCTGTGACTACACGTAGTCCTCGACTTATAACCACAATTGAACCCCAAATTTCTGTTGCTAACCAAGATAGTTGTTGAGTTTTGCCCCATTTTATGACTTCTCTTGCCTCAGTTAAGTGAATCGCTGCAATTGTTAAGTTAGTAACACAGTTGTTAAGAGAATCTGGCTTTTTCATTGACTTTGCTAGTCAGAAGGTCACAAAAGGTGACCCCGGGACATTGCAACCATCATAAATACATTCCAATTGTCAAGTGTCCAAATTTTGATTACATGACCATGGAGATGCTACAACAGTCGTGAGTGTGACAAATGGTCATGCGTCATTTTTTTCAGTGCTGTGGTAATTTCAAACAGTCACTAAATGAATGATTGAAAGTTGAGGACTATCTGTATCCTGCTGTCATGGTCTTTGCCAACCCTTCCAGATGAACTCAGGAAGTAATCCGCCATTGATTTAAAACTTGTCTTAAGCTAGTCATGGCTTTCTAAAACACTTGGGTTACTCTTTGGTATGATTCAGAGGTGACTGGGGAATTTTTCATTCATTGCTTCTGGTCCAAAGATTTTATTCTTGCTTGTTATAACAGCATCCCAGGGACCAAGATGGGAGAAGAAGAAGAGAGGAAGTCTTTTTTCCATGGCTGATTAAGCAGCTACAGCTAAGGAAATGAGTTACTTTGGGAATTACAAATTGGTGATGCTTATATTCCAGTCTTAGCAACTTCCTGGTCACATTGAGTGTTCTTTCTCCAAGTCCTGTTACTAACTAATGCAACAGTATCTGGACTTTTTCCTTCTATGTTTTTCTTTCTTTAAAATTGAAATATGCTTCAATTTTATTTTTATAGCCCACTTTACCAATCTGAGTTCACTTTGCTGCCTAAAGGACAGAAGTTGTGTTAAGGTTTGTTTTAGGAGTACACTTTAGTTGTAAAATTTGCAGGACATTTATGAAACGCAAAAGTGTAATGTAGGTAGTCATTACACCCGTTAACCCAATTTACTTAAAAAGCTTTATTTCACACTATATATTACATCTGCAGCCAATTAATTAATTATTTTTGTCAGTTTGACAAGTTGGCTAAAAATAAAGCTAAAGACAGATGACAAAATTATATATTTGGCCTTAGACACTTCAGTTTGTTCACAGTTTCATTAAAAGAGCTGAGGAAAACGGGGGGGGGGGGGGAAACAGTAGCAATCATTGCACAGAACTTTTGCCTGTAGACATTGAATCTTCAGCTTCCTTTTTTGAACTAATACTACTATCAGCAATTTCTGTTTTTGCTGAGCCTGAAATTTCATTTTTATCCTTCTAATAGATTTCTGATTTTGGCAAGTAAAATTTGTTCAGATTCATACAAGCTTCTCTATTCTTTTGCATGTTTGAGCGCTGCAATTTCTATATACAGGTACTCCTTGATTTACAATAGTAATGGAATTTGCCCATTACGGTCATATGTCATGACAGTCATAAAATGGATTAGCATGTGACTGGATTTTAATCTTTTTTGCAGTGGTCGTTAAGAAATGGAGGGCGTTGGAACTTCAGAATTGGGTCATAATAATCTTTTGGGGGGATCTGACATAACTTCAAACGGTTATTAAGCAACCGGTCATAAGATCACCTGTATTGCAAACTGAAATAGAAAATGGTCTTCCATTGCACAGAATTGGTCAAAAGATGGACAGCTGTGATTTAAATAAATAAATAAATAAAAATAAATGACAAAGTTATTCTAACAGAAGAGATTTTTCAGATGTATTTTTTAAGTCACCAAATAAGGCACGAGAGGAAGGAGGGAGACTGCTTTTACCAGTTTTTTCCAGGCGCTTTTCTGAATCGTCATATCTCTAGTCTGCAATTGTTATCGCTCCCAACTGCCATTCTATGTTTTAAGCAGCAATTAGAATATAATTAGGGCTGAGCACGAAATGGTTACTTTCTTCCTTTTTCTAGTGGTTTTTCAGAGTGACAGAATGAATACCGTCAATACACAGAGACAGGCGCCCCTCAATAATTGTTTGTTTCTTCTTAGGGCTTCCCGGGAAGAACAAGCGATTCAAATGAAGAAATCATCATTTTGGAAAATGTAGGTCTACTGCAATAGTGAAATCTAGCTGTTTCGAGAATCTGCTGTGGAGTGTCCAGCACTGGGTACACGGCTTAGCAGCTTGAGCTTCATCTTTTCTTTTTGTTTTAAAACAAAGTCCATTTCTTGGTCTCCTGGGTGCAAGCATTGACTCAAATTACGTGGGAGAACAAGTAATATTTCAGAAGCTGCAGCTAAAGATTTCTAGCGGGGCAGCCCCAGCTGCTATTATTGCTAGGAATAGAAAGGGGAACTAAACTTTGCAGGGAAATGGTTTTTGTGCTTCTGTTTGTTCATTCAGGTCGCCGAGGTCTCCTGCCCTTGGTGCAGGAAACTATTGTGACCTGCTTTCAGATTTTTTGCTTCTTTTTTTAGGATGGAACCCTTGCCCTTCTCTTTCCTCTAATCATATTGGTTTTCCTCCATCCCGGCAGTTTTGATCGCCTGTTCAACCCATCAGATGCTCCTGAGAGCGCTATGGCCTCTCCTCTACCAGCAGGGAGGTCCCGGCCTAGCCGTAACAACCAGAGAGATCCAGGACGGAAGACCCTGAGATTCATGCCACGAGCAATCTCACCCTCTGAGTAAGTTTACAAGATTGGAAAACCAGATTCTTAATTTTTCCTACCAGGAATTCTTAGGAAATACAATGCAAGTGCGTTTGGATGTGTTTTTACCACTAATCTGCTCTGCTCAATTTTGCTTGCCCTTGTTTGCTCACAGCTTTTCCGGCGTCCCAGCAGGTTGGGTATTTTTCCTTTGGGGTATAGGTAGTCCTCGACTTATAATAGTTAATTTAGTGACTGTTCAAAGCAGCAACAGCACTGTCTTATCTTCATTTTTTCACATTTACGACCCCATAGTCATGTGATCAAAATTCAGATGCTTGTCAACTGACATATTTTTTTGATGGTTGCAGTGTTCTGGGATCTAGTGATCACTTTTTGTGATGATCTGACAAACAAAATCAATGGGGAAGCCAGATTCACTTAACAACCATGTTACTAACTTAACAACTACAGTGATTCACTTAACAACTGTGGCACAAAATATTGTAAAATGGGGCAAAATTCACTTAATGAATGTTTCACTTAGCAACAAAAAATTTGGGCTCAATTTTGATCATAAGTCAAGGACTGCCTGTATTTTTCCCTCTCTCCTTTAATCCAAAACCCTTTTTTTTTTTCATTCTTAACTGGGAGTGACACTGTGAGTCTTTATGCAGGCCGGACCTTCTCCCAGAATACTACAAGCTTATCTGCTTTGTAATGGATTGGATTGTTCATCCATTTAACACAGGGCTGATGGCTCCCCACAGCAGAAGCGGCGAGAGCTGTATGGTGAGATCCGCTCACACATCTGGCAGGAACATGGACGGGCACAGATCCATGGGTGGAGCCAGCCACCTTCATTTCAGGTGAGGATTTTGGGCATGTATACCAGAATCACATACTTTGAGGTGACCCTACCTACATAAGTCCCATGTTGAGACACCAGTTCTCTTGAATTAATGCTTTTAATGTAATCTTATCTAATAAAACACAAGTTATTATTGTTATTATCTTCCTATATAATACTGTACTAAATTTCTTGTTCTCATAACCTTTAACTGGGCTAAATGATCCATCATAAGGAAGCAATTTTTGAACAAAGGTAACTTGTATGGGATAACTTACAGAATGTGTCCAAAATTTGCGACCCATGACTCCTGTGGAATGAAATATGGCAAATAACATTGTCATAAAACTCTTTATGACATAATACAAAATATCATAAAACATTTCTTATGCTGATGTTTGACTGTGTTATATTATTTAACATGGGCTATTTTTAAGACACATACATCTCTGAATGTAAGCAGCACATTAGAAGTTCTGTGACTGTTAAAGATATTCAGGAACCTGGTTAAGGAAATATCTCTGAAAGGATGACCCAACAGATCACGGGTTGTCTGTTTATCATTTAAATGTATACACGGCCCACCACTCAGCAACTCTGAGGGGTTATAGTTTTCACATTGTTTTTTAAAAAAAGAAAACAACAAATGATAAAAGTGAAGAATTAAAAATAGTGAAAATGACAGCATAAATGGGAACAAAAAAACCCAAACTACCCAAATGAAAGAGAGGTTCAGTCACCCCAGGGGTGCTATTCAGCAGGTTCTGAAAGGTTCTGGAGAACCTCAAATTTTGAGTAGTTCAGAGAACCGGCAAATACCACCTCTGGTAGCCCCAGAGTAGGGTGGGAATGGAGATTTTGCAGTATCCCTTTGGGAGGGAATGGGGAGGGAATGGAGATTTTGCAGTATCCTTCCCCTGCCACGCCCACCAAACCACGCCCACAGAACTGGTAGTAAAAAAAATTTGAATTCCACCACTGAGTCACCCTTACCAAAGGCTTGAAAGGAGAGTACATACAGATAGTCCTCAATTTACGACCACAACTGAACCCAAAATGTCCCATTGTTAAGCAAGACAGTTGTTAAGTGAATTTTGTCCCATTTTAAGATCTTTCTTGCCACATTAAGTGAATCACAATTGTAGTTGTTAAGTTAGTAACACAATTGTTAAGTGAATCTGTCTTCCCCATTGACTTTGCGTGTCAGAAGGTCACAAAAGGTACAACCATCATAAATACATGCCAGTTGCCAAGCATTTGAACTTTGACCATGGGGATACTTCAATGGTCATAAATGTGGAAAATGGTCCTAAGTCACTTTTTTCAGTGCCATCGTAACTTCAAACAGTCACTAACTGAATGGTTGTGCATTGAGGACTGCCTCTACGTGTTTTATCACTCCTGACATGGGCAATGGAGGGATATCCGTGTGGAAAATAAAACCGTGGCATTTGGTCCTCTAAGTTATAGGTAGTCCTTGAGTTACGACTATAGTGGAGTTGTAACAATTTTATAATCTTTTTTGCAATGGTTGTTAAGCAAATCACCCTGGTTATTAAGCAAATTTGCAGTTGTTAAGAGAGAGCACTGCAGTTGTTAACTGCAGTGGGCCTAGCTATCTTCGAGACCGCCTGCTGCTACCGACGACCTCCCACCGACCCGTGCACTCCCACAGAGAGGGCCTCCTCGGGGTGCCATCAGCCAAACAATGTAGGCTGGTGACCCCCAGGGGGAGGGCCTTCTCTGTGGGGGCACCTACCCTCTGGAATCAGTTGCCCCCAGAGATAAGGAGAATCCAAGACCTCAGTGCCTTCCGTCATGCCCTTAAAACCCATTTTTTCCAGCAAGCCAGGCTGGCTTAAGAAGAAATTTTTAAATGTTTTAATTGGTTTGTGATTTTTAATTTTGGGGCCATATTTATATATATTTTAATTGTTTTTTAATATTTGTATTTCATGTTCTTAATTCTGGCTGTACACCGCCCTGAGTCCTCAGGGAGAAGGGCGGTATATAAATTGGAAATAAAATAAAATAAAAAATAAAACCATTGTTCACTATGGTGTGGTTTTGCCAAAAACCAAATAAGTACCAGTTTTTGTCAGTAACATCATAAAACAATCATATGACCATTGGACCCTGCAAACAGCCATAGATGTGGCCATGTTGCTTAGTGCCCAAAGTGCGGTCACATGACCATGGGGCGGGGCAACTGTTGGAACTTCAAATCCAAGTCCCCTTTTTCGGGTCAGTCATAACTTTTGAGTCATCACTAAGCAACCAGTCATAAATTGAAGACTATCTGTAATTGAGGGACTTGGGAAGTGCAATGGTGTCTTAACTTTTTAACTTTTTCTTATCCAGTAAAAAGAGTTCTATCCCCAGGTTGGACCTATTCCCGTTTCAGGCTTTGAGTTTTTGCCTGTTAAAATGGGGTTAATATTTTGCTGCAGGACCCTGACTCACCTGCAGGAACTACTGATGTACCTGTACTTGTGCAGCTGAGAATGCTGGAACAGAAGGACCCCAGTACCAAGGTGATGAAGAAAGCTGCCCCCAACTCCTGAACAGTTGAGGGCTGCTTTTTTTTGTTCTTTCTTTTTTCCCAAATTAAAAAGAAATGGAAACTCGAGTAAATCTTAATAGAACCAGTGTGAGTCATTGTGGTAGCCTGCAAACAAAAGAGCTTTGTGGTAAAGACTGTAGGAGTGAAATAGAGAAGCCAGACCAGAGACGATTGAAGAGAAATTGGGGGCAGGTCAATCTGTGATGTGTCTGTGCTGCAATTTGTTTGGATGAGACAGTCACATCTGATTCTGGAAGATTGCAACCCCAATCAAGGTGGAGTAGAGAAAGAAGCAAAGTGGACCAGGGATCCCAAACACTCCCCTTATGCTCAGAGGAAACACTTAATTTCACTGGTGCCTCTCTTGGATGATCTGCTTTGGGAATTCCTGATCCAAGCATCTTTTTTAAAGCATGTCTTTTATTAATTTTTTAAGTGTAGAAAAAAAACTAAGTTTTTACTGGTTGATTTAGTTATGGCAAGAATTAACACAGTAATTGCAGGGGTGAAATGCTCCCGGTTCGGACCGGATTGCCCGATCTGGTAGCGATGGAGGCGGGTGGTTCGGAGAACCGATAGCAAAAATCCCTGCCCCCACCCCACCCCATTGCCCAGCTGAGCCACACAATCATCAGAGGCTTTTTTTTTTTTTACTTTTAAAAGCATTTTTTCTACAACCACTTTGGCCACAAAAATGCTTTTAAAAGTAAAAAAAAAAAGAAGATCTCATGATCGTGCGGCTCAGCTGGGATCATCAGAGGCTTAAAAAAAAAAAAAGAAAGCCTCTGCCGATCAGGCAAATCAGCTGGGATTGTCGGAGGCTTCAGATCGTCAGCTGAAGAGGTTGTAGAAAAAATGGCTTTAAAAGTAAAAAAAAAAAGTTGGCCACGCCCACTCAGTTATATTACCCCCACACCCCACCAAGCCACGCCCACAGAACCGGTAGTAACAAATTTTACATTTCACCACTGAGTAATTGTCTTACGAGCATAGTTGAGACCAGAATTTTTGTTGCTAAGCAAGGAAGTTGTTAAAATAGTCCGATTTTACAATCATTTTGCCATGGTTGTTAAGCGAATTGTGTGGTTCTTAAGCGTATCCTGCATCCCCTATTGAGTTTGTTTGTCAGAAGCCAGCTGGGAAGATTACAAATGGTGATCACATAATCTGTTATGAAACCATCATAAACACACGCCAGTTTCTAAGCACCCAAATTTTGATGATGTGTCCGTTGGGATGTTTTAATGGTCATAAACGCAAGACCCGGTTTTTAAGTCACTTTGGGCGATTGTAAAGCGGTCAGTTTGGCCGCCTCAGCAAATTCCAAGCTCTTCACTATCCATTCATCCATTGTAGGTGAAGTCAGATCTTTCCATCTTTGTCCATATACTGTGTTTCTCTAAAAACACGACCCACCCCAATAATAAGCCCAACCCTAATTTTTGGGCTGTGGGCTTAATATTACCCCTACCCCGAAAATAAGTCTGGGGGGATAGGCGTGGCCAGCACGAGTGGCGGCACAGGTGAGGGGCAACTGTCCAGCTCAAGTTGTAGCCCGCTGGCCCCTTGGGGCAGTGCAAATACCGCTTGTGCCCTTCTCTTTCTGGGCGCAGCGCTTCTGCTTGTTGGGCCGTTTCCCCGAAGTCACAGCTAGCTGCTTTGCTTTTTTCCTCTTTTTGGGAAGCTCGCGGGAGGGTTTTTGGCAAACGGAAGGGAAATGGGGAGGGAAATTTTCCTGCCTGTCATCCATTCCTCAAGCTCAGCACAGACTGAGGGAAGGATGGCAGGCAGGAAAATCCTCCTCCCCATTTTCTTCCCGTTCACCAAAATGCCTCCATTCCTAATGCTTAAAGTTCGGAATGGAGGCGCCGGTACGTCCATGGCATGTCCAGCTCAAAGAGTCTGGCCTGCTGCACCTCAAAAAAGGTAAGATCGCCTTGAAAATAAGCCCAAGTGCTTATTTTCAAGTCTAAAAGAAAATAAGACATGGTCTTATTTTCTGAGAAACACGATAGTACCCTCTGTCAGGGTTCCAAGTAACACCCCCAATAGAATCAAAACTCCAAGGCAGGCATATTCCTCAAAGTACAGATTTATTAGGCATGTCATATTGGCACATCTGGGGAAACCCGAATCTAAAATCCCCCATGGTTTCCCCTAGTAAAAACCACAGTTTTACCTCCTGCTGCCCAGAGGTGTTATTCAGCCGATTCGCACCAGTTTGTACCGGCCTGCCCACCGGCCCCAGCTCTATGACATCCTATTTAGGCATGTTTTCAAGGTTGGGCGCATTCGCGGGAGGTGCACGAGCGAACAAAGTGCGTGTGTGGAAAGCTGGGCGAATGCGCAGAAATCCGAGTTCATGTGTGGAAGGCACACATGCGCAAAGTGAGCATGCGTGCGCAGGGTGAACCAGCGGTAAGAATATTGGCAACCCACCACTGCTCTTGCCCCATCAGACCATCACATGACCCAATCAGGTTACAGTCCAAAGTTTATCTGGACTTGCATCCCGCCTCTTCACACCTGGTGGGAACCTCCTTGGTTCTCAGAGGAAAGAATTTTGTTTTGGTTACAACCCCCACTATCTCTACCTCCCCCTTCCTAACACCCTCATTGCAGTCACAGCAAACATTTCTGAGTGTATGTCAATTAAAAGTTCATGAATGAGGGATTATTTAGTTAGTATAAAAATGGTAGAATGAGAAATAAGATCCCAAGGGAGAAATATAAAAGAGGGTACAAAAAGTCAATAAATGATGAAGTCTCAAAAATAGTAAGAGATGATGGATAGAGATAAAATACCTCTCAATATGGTGAATGTATTAGAAATTAAAAGAAGTAGAAAATACAAATTGGAAAAACAGTAAAACATATATAGATAGATAATAGAATTTACTATAATTAAAAGCAAATTAAGGTTAGAAGGTGGAAGTCTATGATATGGTAACCTGTATTATTATTAATGATGTGTAAAAATATTGTCAGGTTCCAAGTAATGCATCCATCACCATTGAGAATCCCACACCCCAATCAAATTCAGGCTTAACAAATGTATTGAAACTTATAATTTTAGGGGATTGGAGATCCCGGGATTGATTAAATTTGGCTAATGCTTGGTCTTATTGGTGTTTTTAAACAATTGGGATATTGGATTTATGGTGGAATATTGAGTAATTTCTAAAATATTAAAATACTAGTGATTTAACAGGGGATAACAAACATACTGCATGAAGGATTGTTATTGAAGCTTATAAGTACAATGTGCAGGTTAAGGTTAGAAGTTTGTTTCCCCGAAAATAAGAGATTCCTGATAATAAACCCAATTGGGCTTTTGAGCATATGGCAATAAGGCCAAGTGTTTATTTCAGGGTTCAAAAAAATATAAGACAGGGTCTTATTTTCGGGGAAACATGGCATGTATGTATGTATGTATGTATGTATGTATGTATGTATGTATGTATGTATTATGTTCCAGCATAAGTTTGGAACGCCTCGAACAATTCCAAGTAAACTTGGTACATAGATGACTTACCCACTGGAGACAAACACTGTGGGGGTAAGATACCCCTAACACCCCTCGGTGTGTGTGTGTGTGTGTGTGTGTGTGTGTGTGTGTGTGTGTGTGTTCTAGCATAACTCTGGAACGCCTTGAGCAATTTCAACCAAACCTGGTACACAGATGACTTACCCTCTGGAGACAAACACTGTGGGGGTAAGACACCCCTCGGCGTGTGTGTGTGTGTGTTCCAGCATAACTCTGGAACGCTTTGAGCAATTTCAACCAAACTTGATACACAGATGACTTACTCTCTTGAAAAAAATACTGTGGGGGTAAGACACCCCTAACACCCCTCGGGGTGTTTGTGTATGTGTGTGTCCTGACATGCAGGTGGCACACAGAGCCCAGCTCACTTGCACCGCACATGCGCGCGCGCCTCCCGCTGGCCAGCTGATATGCAGGTCTCTGCCGCGTATGTGGGGGGCAAGGGGAGTGCAGAGGGGTGCGGCGCGAGGCTCCCCCTGCGGCCCGTTTTGGCTGCAGGGAGGCGTACTAGGTCAAAAACGGGGCACAGGGGAGTGGTGTGGCCCTCCCACAGCCCGTTTTGGCTCACAGGAGGATGCAGGGAAGCCTACTAGGCCTAAAATGGGCCCCAGGAGGTGTCGTGCGCACATGCACAGGAGGCGAGGGGGATTAGGAGGAAAAATACCTGGGCAGTGCCGGGTCATCAGCTAGTGTGTGTGTGTGTATATATATATATATATATATGTTCATGAATGAATGTCAAGATCATGCTTGTCTCTCTCTTATTGCAGCTCTGGTGTGCCGCAGCATCTGTTGGGCCAGAGCCTCGAGAAACATCACAGATTGTAAGCACTGATTTCTGTCCTCACAACTTCCTCCCGTGCAAATTTACACAACTCAGCTCCTTTCATGCTTGGGATTTTGTTATTCTGACCTTCTGTTTGGGAGTTACTTGAACCTTAAATACAGCCTTCCCTGAATTGCCTAGAATCCCCTAACTAATATGGTGGCTGAGAATTATGGCAATGATGAGGTGTTCTTCTAACATAATCTGGAATGGTGCCAAGATGGAGAATGGTTTTTCTTCCCTTATACAACTCTGTTATTAGATGGTACACAGGTAGTCCTCAATTTACAACCACAATTGAACCTAAAATTTTTCTTGCTAAGCAAGATGGTTGTTAAGTGAGTTTTTTGCCCCATTTTACGACCTTTCTTGCCACAGTTGTTAAGTGAATCACTGCAGTTGTTAAATTAGTAACACAGTTATAATGTGAATCTGGCTTTCCCATTAATTTTGCTTGTCAGAAGGTTGCAAAAAGCCAATCACATGACTCTGGGACACAACTGTCATAAATATGAGTCAATTGCCAAGCATCTGAATTTTGATCATGTGCCATTGGGGATGCTGCAAGGGTCATAAGTCACTTTTTTCAGTGCCTTTGTGGCTTTGAATGGTCACTAAAAGGACAGTTGTAAATTGAGGCTTACCTGCAAATCCTTGCTACTGGACAATTCAGGCCTTGAAAAGTTATATTCTCATGTGATATTTATTGTGTTTACCCGAGCAAGCAGATGTTGTAGCACAGAAGACTCAGATGAGGGCTGGATAGTTAGAAAAAAATCATTTGTGTAAGATTTCTCACCAGTTTACCTAAAATTTCAGATTAGGAGCTGCAGGTGGATCGAAGATGGGAAGATGGGTTTGTGAGTGCCTGCCTTTTCCTGACCCTTCTCTTCATTTGCTTTCAGGGTAACCCCCATTGCAGCTCTTCCGGCAGCTCTCAGCTGTGGGTGGCTGCTGGGACCCACTCTGCTAGCGAAGTGATCCTCTTCAATGCCCCCAATACTAACCAGCTCCTGGAACACTTTGTGCTGCCTGGAATTCACGTCCTCTCCATGGCTTGTGTGCCTGGTCAGTGAGACAAAGGACAGGTGGACAATTGGGAGGTGGGATTTGAAAAGCTGTCAGAAGGAGCAGGGAGAACAGTACGGGATTCTGTGGTCCAAATATCCAGAGTGAGACACATCCTGTGAGGTCAGGAGAACTTGGGTATTAACTAGGGTCAAAACTTTCAGCCAATTTTTGATGGAGAGTTTGGGGAGTAGGGCAGTGGAAAAATTGACCTGGTTTGTGGGGAAATTAAGGGGTACAATGGGTACCAGCCATTTAAACATTCTTTTTCTTTCCATTTCCATTTCCAACTCAGATTTTGATTCTACCCAACTGGGTTTTTTTTAGGGGCTACAGTTTGATCTGAGTTGTATGCATATCTTGATCAATCTTCAAAGAAAGGATCTCTCCAGGATCATTTTCACAATTATTTGAAATAATTGCAAACTCGTTCTCTGGAGTGTCACAGTTAATTGAATTATAAACTAACCAAAGGGGATGGGTTTGGAAACACGCTAAGCCATGGCCAAACCAAGGTTAAACTAAACTAAACTTTGTGTATTGTACAAATGAGTCAGCTGGACTTGAGGTGATCTGGTTGAAGCTGTCATGCAAATTCAGCCAAATTAAGACTGGGCATAATTTACATGCAACCTTCAGTTTCTTTTACTTGACACAATAGCAATAGCACTTATTGCCCCCAACAATTTGAGTCCTCATTTTATCCATCTCAGAAGGATGGAAGGCTGAGTCAACCTTGAGCCTGGTGAGATTCGAACTGCCAAACTGCAGGCAGCTAGCAGTCCGCAGAAGTAGCCTGCAGTACTGCACTCTAACCACTGCGCCAATGCAGCTCAAATAATTGGACAGATATATTTCTGTTGGTTGTTTGGCTTAGAGGTATGAGTTTAAAGTAGTTTTGAGTTTCAAATCTCAATGTAAGCTATTTTGGAAGAAAACTGTACCACAGTCAGGGAGCCTGAAAACTCAAAGAATTGCTTTTAATTCATATGGACACCACTTAGCCACATGTAGTTGATGTAAGACAGGCTCTATATCAAACAAGTCTAAAACTTTCTTCCAATGAGATTTTTCTAGATTGATTTTTTCATTATTCAGTGCTTTGGGGACTGTTGATGTTTATTCTCAAACTTAGATATGTCTACATGTCTAAAACATATAAAGAATAGTTGCAAGAATTGGGTATGTCTAGTTTACTAAAAAGAAGGACTAGGGGTGACATAATAGCAGAGTTCCAATATTTCAGAGTTTGCCACAAAGAAGAGGGAGTGAACCTGTTGTCCAAAGCCAGCTGAGGGCAGGACAAGAAGCAATGGATGGAAACTAATCAAGGAGAGAAACAACCTAGAACTAAGAAGAAATATCCTGACAGTTAGAAAGGTTAATCAGTGGAACAGCTTGTCTCCAGAAGTTGTAGATGCTCCATCACTGGAGGTTTTTAAGAAGAGATTGGACAACCATTTGTCTTAAATTGTATAAGGTTTCCTGCCTAAGCATGGGGTTGGCCCAGAAGACCTCTAAGGTCCCTTCCAACTGTGTTATTCTATTCTATACATGTCCCTGAAAAAAAGAATGTCCCAAGACCATGGCACGCATGTCAGAGGTGGCACGCAGAGTCCTCTCTGCTGGCACGCATGCCGTTGCCCCAGGCAGGGCTGGATTTTCCTATAGGCTAACTAGGCTTCAGCCTAGGGCCTCAAGATCAAGAGGGGCCTACATTCAAATTGTTAGCAAAATTAAAATTACACTTTCACTATAGGTGAAAGGACCTCATAAGTGGAATAGCCTAGGGCCTCTTTTCATCTAAATCCAGCCCTGGCCCCAGGTCAGATCTCAGTGGCGTTTCTTTTGTGAGCTTCTGTTTCCCTGCAAACAACGAAAGAGAAGCTCACAAAAGAAAAAGATCTTACCTCTTGCCGCGCTGCCAATGTTGGGATGCCCTGCCTCCCGCTGACCAGCTGGCCTTTGGGTCTCTGCACACAATCACGCATGTCCCTGCATGAGCATATTTGCACATGTCTGCACATGCACATGTTCACACATGTCCCTGCATGAGCACGCTCGCACGCGCACACATCTTTTAGTTTCAGCATACATGTGCATGCAGTTTGGGCACTCTGTGTCCAAAAGGTTCGCCATCACTGGCCTAGGAGTTGAAGTCCGCCCATCTTAAAAGTTGCTGAGATTGGGAAACACTGGTCTAGTTGCTTTGAAGGAGCCTCAGACTGGCTGTGAGATTTCAAAGCGAGATCCCAATGTGTTGTGGGTTCCTGATAGATAAGCATTCCCTTCCTTAACGTTGCTTTCCCTCTTCTTCTATAGGCCTGACAGCACCTGTTGATGAAAAGCCAGTGGTACAGCCAGAGATCCTTGAAGACCCTTTGGCACCCCGATCTGACAGTGATGAAGAAGCAAGGGAAATGGAGGCAGTTGGTACAGGACCCACTGTCTGGATTGGGACCCAGGAAGGCTGGTAATGGAGATCAAAGTGGAGAAGAAATGAACGTGTCTGATATAATATGCCATTCCTGCCTATGTTGCTTCAGGCAGTGTCTGGCTCTTCCTGTTCTCCTCCTCCTCTCCTCCTACCATTTTCTTCGTGTTGCTACTGTTACTCTGTAATTCTACCTGTTAGCCTGAGGAGGGAGCTGTCATTCTGGGGAGAAGATAAAGCTCACCTGCTTTTACAGGTGGTCCTTGATTTATGACCACAATTGGGACTGGAACCCCCATCACTACATTAAGTGAGTCACACTCACTATTACAACCTTTTTACTGCAGTCATTAAGCAAGTCACCATGGTCATTAAATAAATTGTGTGGTTATTATGTGAATCTGGCTTCCTTCATTGACTTTGCTTGTTGAAAACCCTTCAGGAAGCTCACCAGTCATAGGTGTGAGGTCTAGTTGTAAGTTTTCAGTGCCGTTGTAACTTCGAATGACCGGTAAATGAATGGTCATAAGTCAAGGACCACCTGTACAATGAATATGCCCAATACAGTAATGATACGGTGACAGCAGAGACTTTAATGCTGTCTCCCAAATATGAACAGTTAATGAATGGGCATGTGTTTGATGGCTTAGTGGTTAAAGATACTGAGCTGGTCATTTGGAAAGCTGACAGGCCAGGTTCAAGATCCCAGCGCCGTGAGACAGGGTGAGCCCTGGCTCCTGGCCTCCTAACAATTCAAAAGCTTGCAAATGCAAGTAGATAAATAAGTACCACTTTGTTGTGGCTCCGTTACCTGAGCCTGTGTTATCGGAGGGAGAAGGCTCCGAACATGAAGGAGAGGAGTTGGCCAGGCCTCCCTCTCCAGGACCCTCCTCTCTGGCAATGCCTCAGGTGACTCCTGAAGGAGAAGAGATTGGCCAGGAGCCAGGTATCTCCTCGCAGTCGGACAGTGACGGAGATAAGTCTTGGCTGGATCCACGCCAGCGTCGGAGAGACAGGCACGCGCAGCAGAAGAGGAGGCGTGCCAGAGATTAGTCTGAGTCACTGGACCACACCCCACAGGGGATAAAAGGGGGTGAGGTGGCCATTCAGACTCTGTGACGGACAAAACAAACTACTAGCGAGTCACATTGTATCTTTGAAACAATGTTATCTGCCTTGGATTTAATACGGACTGGACTTGACAATTCTTGAACTGTGTGTATCTTGTTTGGGTTTATCTGTCGGAGAAACACCCCCTCCCTCTGAGTAAAGTTCCTGGCAAGCAGCTACTGGGTTGCTGCCAAGTCTCTTATCGAAAGAATTTGTTGTCTGCCAGTTTTATTTAACCCCTGGCTATCTGTTTGTGTGCGTGTGTGAGACGGGGACAGAACACACTTTGGTGGGAAGGTAAGAGTATTGCGTGCACCCGTGCGCCTAGAATCAGACACAACTTGGCAGGGGAAAACTTTACCTTTAATGAATGGGAAGCTAGGCGTCCGGGCTGGTACTGTGCTAGTGGCAGAGTTGTGTCGAAGGGTCTAATAATTCTGTTGGATATGCCTCTTATTTCTGCTATTTCTTTCTGTTTTACAGTATCTATATTCATTCCTCTGTGACTGACTGGCGACATTGCCAAGGCAAAATACGTTTGAAGGAGGCTGTCCATTGTATTGTGTGAGTATGCAACTCTTGCCCAATGTCGGAAAGCTGAGTATCCTCAGTGGAAACTGCCCGTCTTCCCATTCTAGTGCTAGTAAAACATGCCTTTGTGTTATTCTGCCCTATCTGCTCCAGGCATACCCAAGGCCGCGTTGTAGCTGCCCTTGCTGATGGATCTCTCGCTATATTCCATCGGAATGCAGGTAGGCCCTGTTGCTTGGATTCCTTCCCTCTCCATTTCCCCCATGGTTGAGACCTTCTCCTTAATTTCTTGATGAGAGAGAGAATGTATAGAGGCTAGGAAAGTAACAGAAGAGTAAATAACCATAAATAATAAAGAGACAGAATGTGAGTCCATTGACAGCCTGTCTTACAAACAGCAATGAAGCCCAGCTAGCAAGAAAAATGGGAAGAAGCATTTCCAAGAGATTTTATCTTAACAAACTCATTGTAAATGAGGGTTGGAAATTCTTGACATTTCCAAGATTCTGTAATTACCCAAAGACTTGCATTAAATATACCTTACTGAAGTCTGCGTAGATGTTGCTTCCTTGGTTTTGCCCAGCTTATGTGGGTCATTGACACTTATTTTATTTACTTATTAATTAAACTGATATGCTGCCCATCTCACAGTTCAAGGTGACTCTGGGCGGCTTACAATATAATAACTTGTCTTTTCTTAGATCGCAACTGGGAACTGCATGCCCCACGCCTGGTTCAATTGGGACGGCCACGGCGCTCCATTCGTTGCATCATCCCTGTATTTAATTGGCTCTGGTGTGGCTATGGAAACCGAATCTACGTGCTGGATCCTCGGACCGCTCGCATTCAGGTGAGCCTGTTGAGACATGAGGCCCTTATTGGAAGCTGGGAAGTCAAGAAGTTGTCCAGTGGAAAACTCAGATGGGGCTGGAACAGATTCAAGTCACTGGAATGCATCTGCATTCTTAGTAGAATTTTGATCATGTGACCATGAGGATGTTGCAACGGTCATAAATGTGAAAAACAGTCATAAGTCACTTTTTTCAGTGCCTTTGTAACTTCAAACGGTCACTCAATGGCTGGTTGTAAGTTGAGGACTACCTGTATACAAAAGAGTTCTTGCCCAACCAACAGGCCATAGACTTCCTGCACTCATGCCAGAGAAAATTGGCATGCCTGTCATTTGTATCTCGCTCCCTGCCACCAATTTGTTTTCCTTCCTTCCAGCGATACTTTGAAGTGACATCACACCCTGAAAGCCATGTCCGGCACATGGCAGCTGCTGGTGGTGGCATCTGGATTTCAGTCCGTCTGGAGACCACTCTGCGTCTTCTCCATGCGGAGACAGGGCAGCCATTGCAGGAAGTGGAACTGGAGCCCTTCATCAGCCGCACGTTTGGTGAGTGGCTGTTCCTGGAAGTGGAGTTAAAAGAGCAATCAGCCTAGAATCCCTATGTAGCCACAACTGAACTAAGTCCTACCCCCATGAATTCTATTAACCCTTATCTACAGTAGTTGCCAAAATTGTGGAAACCTTTTGGGAAAAGTGTATTTTCTAAAACTAGCTAATAACACCATTTTTTTTTCATGAGTAGTACCATAAAATTATATATCAATGGAAAGATAATTTAATCAAGAATGTAATGCAATAACTTTTATGAAGGATTTGCTATTAGAATAGCAGTTACAGTATAAAGAACAAAAGTGAAACACATAGAAAAAACAAGTTATACAAAAATTATCACGTCAGTTAATACTTAGTTGGGTAACATCTTCCCATGGAGTGAACCAAGTCTTTTAGTTCTGCTATAATGTGAAACCAAGATTGAATGATTGCTTCTATTAACTGGGTTTTATTACTGGGTCGCTTCTGACTAACACGTTTCTTTAGTCGGCTGCATAGATTTTCATTTGGGTTAAGGTCTGGGCTATTCTCAGGCCATTCCAGCAGTGGAATATGATTATCTTGAAACTCCAAAAAAAGTGGTGTTATTAGCCATCAAACCTCAAAAATACATTCCACAATTTTGGCTACTACTGTAACTCCAAGCAGGTGCTAATTGTTGAGAAGATTCCTGTGCATAGGCATGATTAGCAATAAATCAGTTTAATTGGAACTTCAGGTGGACTTGATCTTTTGTGCCTGACTGGGTCAGGAACCAGAGGGCACCCGGAGGCAGGATCTTGGATATTGCAGAACAGTTTCTCAACCTTGAGAACTTTAAGACATGTGGACTGCAACTCCCAAAATTCCCCAGCCAGCCATGCTGGGAATTCTGGGAGTTGAAGTTCACACTTCTTAAATTCTGGTTGAGAAACGCTTTGGCAAAGGGGAGGGGAGGAGTAAGCCAGGCAGGACATGATCTGCAAGCTGCTCTGGTTCCTGGAAGAATATGAGTAACTGGAGGGTTATTGAAGGATCATAAATTTTTATAGAAAGCTCCTTAGCTATTGTAGACTCCATTTCCCAGATCATCTGTTGTAGGTAGAACTCCTAAACCAGGATTAGGTCCTTCAAATATCACAGAAGGACAGTCCCCGGCATCTCTTCCTGTGGCCTTTGTTGACTGGGGCTGTTGAAAACTGTAATTTTGCAATACTTGGAGAGGCACAGGTTCCCTAATGCCTATATCCATTCTTGTCATAAATCATGTGTGGATCTAGACAGGAGTTCTGGTTTGCGAATGCCCAGAATTATTGGGAATCAGGTGGCATTTAACTGTAGATGATAGAGAAGATAGAGGAGGGGAGGGAGGGAGGGAGGGAGGGAGGGAGGGAGGGAGGGAAGGAAGGAAGGAAGGAAGGAAGGAAGGAAGGAAGGAAAGAAAGAAAGAAAGAAAGAAAGAAAGAAAGAAGAAAAAGAAAAAGAAGAAAAGAAAGAAAGAAAGAAAGAAAGAAAGAAAGAAAGAAAGAAAGAAAGCTTGAATGGCCTTCTCCTGCTTGGTGCTCAGGTCGGAGTACACAACCTCCAGAATTCCCAATCATGATGGGATATTATGTCTCAGCACCTCTGAGGGATCCCTGATGCTCTCTGAACTTGGTTCTTTTCTTGCAGTTGTTTCATTACCCAAGCTAGGTAACATCATCGGTGCTAGTCTGTCAAATATATACAAGCTCACCCTTGCTTTCTCTTCCTCATCTCCTCAGGGCCCAGCAGTGTCAGCTTAGCCTTGAACATCTCAGCTCTTGGTGCTTTTGGAAAGCGACTGTGGGTTGGCACATCCGGTGGCACCATTATATCTGTGCCTTTTGTCTCTGGTAAGCAAATATGTCTCCTTCTGATTGTGGGAAAATTCATAGCTGAGCTGTTTAGTTCTGAGATGGCTTTTTCTGTTTCTCTGCAGAATTTTCTGAAAGCGTGAAGACTTCTCCCTCTGCTGGTATCCCTTTGTGTGCTATGGAACAAGCCCAGATCAGCTATCATGGGCACCGCGATGCTGTCCGTTTCTTTGTCTCTGCCTCAGGTAGTTTGCAAGAAATGTCCGAAACCCATTTCTTGATTTTTCAGGAAGGGCTACTTATGTGCATGACAGTTCGGCAGAATATGACAAGTTTCTTCCCTGAGATGTTTACAGAGTTTCCTGGCATGGGAAAAACAACAGAGGTGGAGGAAGGAAGTGGAGGCTGTGATAAACAAGGCATTCATGTCAGCATCTTGGCTGGGAATTTTTGGAAGTTGAAACCAAGCATAGGCAGAAAATGCTAAATTCAGTGAGACTGGATTCATGTATATTAAAGTTTAAATGAACAAAATAGATATATCCCTTTACCCCCAAATAGAGCGGAACCTTTAAAATAGTAACTGTGTTGTAAATGAACTGAATGAAACTTCAGTGGTAGGCTGATATAATGTCTTGCTTTGCAGGGCAGTGGGTTGTGTGTTTAATCGGTATTAGTAAAGGGTGTGGATTCTGCCATTGAGTAAGAGTTGCATCCTGATTTTCTCCAATTCTGATTCAGCAAGAAATAGGATTCTAAACTGTAGCTTCTAACGATTTGCTTTTTTTTTTTTTTTTATGGACTGGATATTTGGTTTGTTTATTTTGGGCACATCTGTGGCCACAGATATAACACATGGCCAGATTGGCAGAAGCAACCAGAAAGTCCATATTGGTTAATTTGTAGGCAAATTATCTTTTCTTTGCCTTCTGTTTGGAAGAAATCTAACCTGCCTCATGGTGAATAGCGTGGATTTCTACACTAGTTGCAGAGAAGGTTATCCTCCCCTGTGGCCCTATGAAAGTGCAAGTTAATACTGTATTTTTTCTGGCTAATAATGTTTAATGGCCTTATTTACCAAACAGTTTTGATATACTACCTTCATTAGCTTTTATTCCAGGGTTATTCACAATACAAGTTAAAAAAACAACAACACTAAAAGAGCTAAAATCAATAAAACACCTAACCTAAATAACAATTAGAAGGAGTAGAGTGAAGCAGTTCATTTTCTGTTTAAATTTTAGTTCCTCTCATTGCCTAAAATGCAACTCATTAAAATACATTAAAAAACCAAGTTAGCCAGAGCTGTAAAATACAAGTTAAGTGAGTATGTTATTTATTTATTGGGTCATAGACCAAGAGACAATCTATCCTATCATACAGCAAGAAGACATTTTTAATAAAAGAAAGATGTAGGTACCATATATCATATAAACAGAGAAAACATCAGATAAATAGTAAAAATGACTGGAAGAGAAAGGAGAATAGGAAAGAGAGGGCATATGTGGATGAGTCTAATCCAGTGTTTGTCAGTCTTAGAAAATTTAAGGTGAACTTCAATTTTCAGAATTCTCCAGCCAGCATTCTGGGAATTGAACTCCATACATCTTAAAGTCACCAAGATTGAAAAATACTGGCCCAATCTAGCAGGAATACCTAGAGCTGCATCATAAGCCATTCCTCCTCCCCCCCGCAAAAAGAAATTAAACTTTTAAAAGTTATAAACTTATAAAAAAGACATAGAAAAAATAATTAAAAAGAAAGAGGGAAAAATAGGGAAAAAGCAAATTTGGCAACACACACAAAAGCAGTGGAGAATAGAAAGACTTTCTATAGAAAGGCTTTAGAAAAGAATAACTTCTGACTTTTTTTTGGTACAGATACAAATATGAAATACAATGACCTTTTAAAATAGGGTAAACCACAGCACACTATACTTCCCTAGTTGTAAACACGTCTAATCATCACATCCCATGGTTAAAATTCTGTTTCTTTCAGTTTCAAGCAAATTATCCAAGAGTGGTTTCCAAACAGAAATAAAACTAGAATAAAGTCTTTTCTTTAATCAGCCCAGCCAATTTTTCCCTTTCCGCCAACTCCATTAATTTCACCATATAAGTTTGCTCTTATATATGACAACAACAACAATATAAGATCAAAAGCCATTCTTCTCAAATCCCCTCTTCTTCTCCTGTAGCTATAGGTAGTCCTCAACTTATGGCCACAATTAAGCCCAAAATTTCTGTTGCCAAGCAAGACAGTTGTTAAGTGAATTTTGCCCCATTTTACGACTTTTCTTGCCACAATTGTTAAGTGACTCACTGCCGTTGTTAAGTTAGTAACATGGTTGTTAAGTAAATCTGATTTCCCCATTAACTTTTTTTGTCAGAAGGTCACAAAAGGTTATCACACGACTCCGAGACACTGCAATTGTCATAAATATGAACCAGTTGCCAAGCGTCTGGATTTTGATCACGTGACCATGGGATGCTGCAATGGTCACAAGTGTGAAAAATGATCATAAGTCATTTTTTTCAGTGCCGTTGTAACTTTGAATGGTCACTAAATGAACCGTTGTAAGTCAAGGACTACCTGTACTGTGGGACAGAATTTTGTGCCCTTTGTGGTGATCGTGCTGAGAAAAATTGATTTCAAATTGAAGCTAATCAAAATGTTTGTTGATGAGAGAGATTTATTCTAAGCACCAGGTGTGACTGAGGGAAGAAGAACGGTATCCTCTCTCCATATCATCCTGAAAGGATGCCATTCCTATCCAGAATGGGTTTGGAAATCATTATGATCGTTTCAGGTTTGGTGCCTTTAGGATTTGAATAGCTCTGACTGATTTTTATTTCTTCTAGGATATGTGGATCCATCTTCTGCAGAAAACTTCAAGGATTTGCACAGTCAAGAGAAACCAAGCAAACCTTGCAGCTTGGTGCTAAGTGGAGGGGAAGGCTATATTAATCTCCGGATAGGTAAGCAGGGATGGAGAAACTACAATAGTCCAGAGCTGACTCGGTTTCAGCTCCGGCCCCCTTGGCCAATGGCAAGGGATGACGTGGTGCTATAATCCAGTAATTAACACACCTGGAGAGGAAATGGGATTGGGATTTCTTTATAAAGTCAAGTCTTTCTTGATACCAACAGAAAAGAAAATTTGTACTCAGGGTTGAACTCTGAGCTTGGTGGTTTTCTTACAGATGTTTTATTACCCAACTAGGTAACATCATCAGTGCTAGAAGGAAGCAGGGTTTGCTTTCTGTTTATATACTAGTGGTATGCCCAGTCGGTGTTAGTGGGAGTGTTTTTGGTGGTTCCTTGATAGTCCTTTGATATGCTTGGAGTAGACCTGATCTCTTTTCATGTGGCCACTGTTTTCCTCCATGTCCAGGAGACAACTCCGATAAGCACTACGGTGACCTGCTACACCCGAACCCACGCCTCCGTCGAGCCGAGAGAAGCCACCTCATTGTCTGGCAGGTGCAGGACTGAGATCATGATCATGGAGACTCGGGACATCTCCTTCCGCCTGGGAGGGAACGACACAGCTGCCAGATGTTGGCACTGCCTTCCCGTTGTTGTTTCCTGCTCTCTTCCCTCACTCATGTGGTTTGCAGAATTGAGATAAAACATTTTTACCTTTTGAGACTGGTGATGGAAAAAAGCCACTGGAACTCTGGAATGTTTGGTGAATAGGTTTGGTGAAGAGAACATCTGGTGCATCCTCAGATCCTTCCATTACTTTATATCATCCTTTCCATTCTTTCATACTGGAGATGGGCAGTTTGTATCTAGACTGAACCCCTTCAAATCCTGCTTTTATTGCTCAAGCCACCCTCTGTTTACAAAGAATAACAGTGTACCTCTTGCTGGCCAGTCGCTTGGGAGTTGATAGCCATGAAGTGTCTAGTACCAATGGGGATTGAAGGCAGAGCTTCAAAACAATTGGAGTCCAAACTGCTAAAAACTGGGAAATAAATCTGGAAGAGAAGCAGCATCCACACTGGTCAAAGTGAAGGCTCTCTCCTTCCTTTCTGCCTCCCCCACTTGGCTGTGATTGAAACTGATGCTTTTCTACTTCTAGTAAATGTGGACATTCTGGACTAGAACGGGTGAAACCTGTTGATGTAAGCTGCTGTATTACTCAAAGAGACCTCAAGGGGGAGCTTCCTTGTCCTTGCTCTGGGATTACTACAGGTGGTTTTTTCTCCTCCCCCTTTGCCCCATGGAGTTAACCAAATCCTGCCTGGAACTCTGAAAAGATGCATTTGCTTCAAGACACACACACACACACACACATATACACACGGTTTAATTTCTCAGGGTTTATTTAACTCTCCAGGAATTGAGTCTTTAAAGGAACTCAGAATCTCTCTTTGTGGGTTGGTTTCACAATAAAGCTACTGTTATTCTTATTCCTGCTGTGGCTGGTACTACGGTGCTACTATTGTTCTGATCCTCTTCCTTGCTTAGGGATTGCATTTGGAGGCTTTATCCATGGCAGAAGATAAAATTTCTCACAAAAGACAGCAGGAAACTTGTTCCAAAGGTGCTTTTTTCAAGAGCCAACTGGACTTCCTTGTTTTTCTTTGAAGACATTTCGCTTCTCATCCAAGAAGCTTCTTCAGCTTCTTGGATGAGAAGCGACACGTCTTCAAAGAAAAATAAGGAAGTCCAGTTGGCTCTTGAAAAAAGCACCTTTGAGACTGACCTGGATGACTGAAAATCTCCATAGATATTCAGCAGGAGACTTCTTTGTCTAAAGTATTCTTGGTACCCAGAACCATACCTGCATTGTTAAAGTAGTCTGTGTTAATGTAATGCTGCAGAAACAACTTTTTATCCAAGGAAAAGAAAGGACATGTTAAAGGCTAATTGTTAATGTCCGTCTGCATTCAAGCTCCATCTCATTAGAAAAAAGTTGTAAAATAGCTTTCCATTTGATTGGACTGTGTATACTCTGCTGCATAATACAGGTAATCCTCAATTTACAACCATCTATTTAGTGACTGTTTGAAGTTACAAGAACAGTGCAAAAAAGTGACAACTGGTCCTCGCTTAACAACCTTTGCACTCTACACATGGTCATGTGATCAAAATTCTGGCACTTAGCACCCAGCATGTATATATGATGAGCCTTTTGATGCAAGGAGTTGGAGAATTCCTGATGCAATTATTATTGTATTATTTCTATGGCAACTACAAGTAGTCCTTGATTTAACAACCATTTGCTTAGTTATCATTCAAAGTTACAATGGCACTGAAAAAAGTGACATGACCATTTTTCACCATTACAACTGTTGCAGCATCCCATAGTCATATGATTAAAAATAGGATATTTGGCAACTGGCATGTATTTATGATAGTTTCAGTATCCTGGGGTCATGTAATCAACTTTTTGTGGAATTCTGACAAGCAAAATCAATGGGGAAGCCAGGTTCACTTAACAAACATGTTACTAACTTAACAATTACAGTGATTCACTTAACTCTGCCAAAAAAGGTCATAAAATGGAACAAAGCTCATTTAACAACTGTCTAGCTTAGCAGCAGAAATTTTGGGCTCGGTTTTGGTTGTAGGTCAAGGACTACCTATAGTCTTATACTTCAGCTTATGTCCTTCCAACAAGTCGAATCAACTTCTAAAATTTCACATTGGCTAGAAATTCTGCAAATTGAAGTTCAGACATCTGGAGCACATCAGGAAAATGCTATATTTATCCCATAGGAGATGCCTAAAGAATAAACAAGGGTCCTATTTTCTCCAACAGAAGTAAAAATGAAACCTCCCCATCCAGAATATCTGCAAAGATATCAAGACATGCTAGCTGCAGTTCCATGAAAGTGCTTTAGGTTGCTAAGAGCCAATGAGATCACCTGGTAGAGATGCACCTCTGGACATCCCTTGCTTCACAGAGTATGTAATAAGATGCCCCAACATCCCAACCCAAAAGTTCCAGTGACGGGCAGTGACATCTATTGTAGCTGCTGCCATCATGACATTCCTACGAAGGCAGACCCACACTCAACACTCATCACAACTAGCTTTGTAGAGCATAGCAAATAAAAGATTTTTTAAAAAAGAGGTCCATTGGGCGGAGAAACTGGATCCCACTCTGAGTGTGAAGCTCAAGTTCCACCACCTGAGATTTTTCTATGGCACCAGCCCTGTTGGGAATGCAGCCTAATTGCCCTATCATAGTTGAGAAAAGGTGCTGGAGCCATCTGTGACAAGTCATTTGCCTGATGAATTAAAATGGCTGGGGAATTCCGGGGGTGGAAATCTACACATCTTCAAGTTGCTAAGGTTGAGAAACACTCTGCTTAAATCTTAGCCTCGCCTTTCAATTAATATATCACAGTGTTTCTCAGTCTTAGCAATTTTTTCTGGGAGCTGAAGTCAATTCATCTTAAGGTTGAGAAACACTGATATAGACACAGGATTTAAATCTGTTTAAACCTATGAGAATTGAAGTTCACAAAGTTGGAAGCAAAGGAACTTGAAGCCAGACAGGGCTGAGGCCAGCTACAAACTAAAACTAAGCAGGCACTGATCTAGGGCAGGGGTCCCCAACCCCAGGCTGCGGCCCAGTCCCGGGCTATGGCATGTTTAGCGGCAGGAAAGTACATGTGCGCGCAACTCCGCTTGTGCAAGGTAGCGGGCAAGCGCACGTGTACAGCTCCATTTGCACAAGTGGGTGATAATGCACATGCTTGTTCCACTCACACAGAACCATCTCCATTCCTCTCCCCCCTCCCCCCGGTCCACAAAGCCGAAAAGGTTGGGGAATGCTGGTCTAGGGTGTCAGTTTGGGGGCACTCCTGTCACCTGACCTTCCAAATCGTTCTAAAGATGCCATCTTTGCATAAGCAGAAGATGGTACCATCAGTCAATGTAGTCTGGGGGCACCATATAACCTTGAGTTAACACTGGATAGGACCCTCATCCAAACCCCATCCAAGGTCAAGGACCGAGAAATGAAAAGTGGGTTTGGTTTTTTTAATCACGTAAGGTCAGAAGAAACAATACAGATTTCAACCAAGAATCTGTTATAAATAGTTTGATTTTGTATTGGCTGGTCTTTTTTTATTATTAGGGTAGCCAGTATCTGCAATTAAAAAAAAATCATCTGGCCAAGATTTGACTCTTCTGTTGTTTAAATTTCAATTGAGTGCTGTTTCTAGGACAAGAGGTCAGCATCTTTCTTCTACAAAGAGGAAATCCTTGCTTAATGAGCGATTGTTTAATGACCATCAAAGTTATGACCATCCTCCCAAAAGTCAATTACAACCCCTCCTAGACATTACTGCTGCTGCACCACCATCACCCAACAGTCACATGATTGCATTTTGGGCACTTGGTAACTGTCTCGCATTGTACACCTAGTTACATTTTCCAATATTAGTTGCTGGTTTCCAGCACCAAATCCCCATTTAAGAGAATGGATTCCCTTCATGCTCAAGTGGTTTGCTGAACAATTACATCATTCACTTAATTACAATGGTGATTCACTTTATGACCCTTGTAAAACAGTTGTAAAATTGAGTCAGGTCATGTGGTGACCCACTTAATGTCCACAGTGATTTACAATGGAGATTCCAGGCTCAATTGTGGTAGTTAAGTGAGGACGTACTCTCCCTTGAGCAGATACACTGGCATTTGGGACAAACCATAGAGACGTGTTTCTTAAGGGGGAAAAAGAGGGATGAGGCCAAAAGGAAAAAGAGAGCATGCAGGGGCGCCCCTTGTGGTTAGGGAAAGAAATGCTTATGAAGGGAGGGAGGAAGAGACCTCAGTAACTGAAGGTGTATTATAAACAATAGGCTCATTATATCATTCAAATCATTTATTAAAATGGGACAGTCCTACATCAGGTAAAAGACAGAATTGCAAACTTTATTTTTTTAGAATCACTGCAAGCAGGAGATAAGTATGGTATTTCTTTTTGAGATAATTTTAGGTGGTCGGACAGATCCAGCCTATGGGCTGTTGGTTTAGAGTAGTGGTTCTCAACCTGTGGGTCGGGACCCCTTTGGGGGTCGAACGACCCTTTCACAGGGGTCGCCTAACACCATCCGAAAACACATATTTTCAATGGTTTTAGGAATAATTTTATGGTTGGGGATTACCACAACATGAGGAACTGTATTAAAGGGTCGCGGCATTAGGAAGGTTGAGAACCACTGGTTTAGAGGGATTTGAAATGCCAACAAAAACCTCTCCTTAAATATGCGTTGCTAAAAAAGATGGAAAGGATACTATAGATTGCCTCTTTGTTTTTATTTGGTCCCAGTAATTTATCTATCTGCTTTTATGACCAAAGCAGAGTATTTTTCAGCACTGTGCACAAGATACATTTTGAGATAATAAAGCACTTACAGGTAAATCTATTTTAGCTTTGTATTTTCCAATGGTAACATTCCCTGAATCGTCTGGCAGTTCTAAGAGGACATTTACCTGAAGGAATCACCTGCACTTTTCCAACAGGTAGACTTACCATTGCTTGGAATATTGCATCCTCTTAGATCAGAGACGAATGCTTAGAATTTCCAGATTGTGAACTCCACCACCTAAGAATATTTTCAGTTGTGGCATCAAAAAACGTTCCTCATAGCTAGAGAGTGGCATTCATCCAGCCTCCATCTTCTTGCTACCTCTCTTTTGACCCTTTGATGATTTTCTCTACTCTCCAACAATCCAGCAGCCCATCCCCTGCTTTCTTTGTTGATGTCACAATGCACAATAATTGGCAGACAGATTTTCCAGTAGGAGAGACATGCCTTTCAGCCAGGAAAGATGGAATCTGGTGAGAAGAGAGGCCTTAATGGGTACAGAAACTGGTAGCTCCAAAACCCATGGGGGGGTCCAGCCCCACCCAGAATGATGAGCCAGAATTTTGTGACCCAGAAGATGCTCTTGTTCCAGTATTATGATAATCAAGCAGGGATTATAGCTTCTCCCTGAGCTCCACTCAGTCCTAGCTATGTTCTCACACCCTGCAGGTGGGAACAATTTACATTGCGTAAACTTGCATTCTTGCGTTCTTCAGCTGGGTAGTGAGGAAGGATCTGATATGTGAGGATGCTGGTTGAGTTTCATACCTTTAAAGGCTGCATTAACAGAGGGATAGAATCAAGATCACGTGAAGTGTTAATACCGCTTTATAATGCCTTGGTAAGGCCACACTTGGAATACTGCACCTAGTTTTGATTACCACGAGGTAAAAAACATGTTGAGATTCTAGAAAGAGTGTAAAGAAGGGCAAAAAAGATGATTAGGGGACTGGAGGCTAAAAGAACGGTTGCTGGAATTGGGTATGTCTAGTTTAATGAAAAGAAGGAGTAGGGGTGACATGATAGCAGTGTTCCAATATGCGAGGGGCTGCCACAAAGAAGAGGGAGTCAACAAATTCCAATGGATGGAAACTAAGCAAGGAGAGAACCAACCTAGAACTAAAAAGAAATTTCCTGACAGAACAATTAATCAGTGGAATAACTTGCCTCCAGAAGTTGTGGATGCTCCAACAGTGGAAGTTTTTAAGAAGAGATGGGAGAGCCATTTGTCTGAAATGGTATAGGAGTTCCTGCCTGATCTGGTGAAACTTGGGGCGTTTTAATTTCGTTTATTTAAATCTTAAAACAAAATTTAAAATGTGTGGGGAACCTATGAAGGGTCACTTAGGGGGTCTGTAGTTACTGTGAGGCTGGTCTCAGCAGGTAGCAGATGGGTTTGGAGAGTGGAGGATATTTTCCTCACATTAAAATCGCTCCTATATCAGAAAGGAGCAATCAGATGTGGGTCAGCCCTACAAGGTAGTCCAGACAAGCATAAATCCTGAGTACTAGCACTACCCTTTATTGTAGGGTTACGTAACAGCATCTTACAAATCTTAAAGCATTTTTCAAAAAAACTAGAGACAGTCACTTCTGAGGCTCTTCCCACACATTTTTTTCCTTCTGAATCAGAAGGAAATCAGAATTTCATTTTTTTAATGTATGCCGATGTGTTAACAGAAAAAAAAGTGACAATAAAGGTTAACTCATCTCATCTCATCTCAACTTAGCTTATATCTCTCCTCTCCTCTCCTCTCCTCTCCTCTCCTCTCCTCTCCTCACCTCTCCTCACCTCACCTCAGCTTACTGCACCTTATCTGTGGGCTGAAATGTGGGCTGAAATATCTTGTGTATTATAGTTGTCTAGGCTGCAGCTTCTTCTTCCTTCTCGTCTCCCAAGGTCATTTCCACATAATATTACCACATGGAAATATAAGTCATGGCACCACATTGGCTTACAGTGCTCAAGAACAAGAGTACAGGTCCATGCCTCAAGTGGTTGTGGTTTGAGATAAAGAGGAAAAACAACAACAACTGTGGATGAAGACCAAAGGAGCACTCCAATGAGGATGTAGGATAGGCCCTGGAAGAGACATGCCCAGTCCTATAGAGTAATTAAAAATATTGTGAGATCTTGCACACCCTGATTCTTGTAATACTTCTCACATATGCTCTCTTTTTTTTATTACTTTGCTGCCTTCCAGGAAGGGAACCAACAAGGAGCCAATGGAATCCTTCAGAAGATATCCATGATCAGGCTCTCCAGGGCTGGTCACCATCACCTGGCAAACTGCAGAAATTGCTGCAGATGCCAGAGTACAGTGTGTTTAGAGGTGCACAAACCTTCGAGAGCAACTTTTTCCAGGTGATTGGATGTTCTTGTTTAGGAATGAGCAGAGCTTTTCAATAGAGAGAAACTGCTTCTCTGTTATGACAACAATTGGAACCAGAATTTATGTTGCTAACCAAGGCAGTTGTTAAGTGACTTTTTTTTTGCCACAGTTGTTAAATGAATCCAAAATCCAGCACTACCTTTACACATTACCCTCAGAGATGCTTACAGACCTGCTCCATAATTTGAATTATGCTGTCTGACAAATCATTTCACCAGCAGTCACTACATGATCTTGGTACTTGAAGATCCAGCAAATGGACAACTGTTAAGGGCAAAGAAATCTCACATCACTACTTGTATTGATGCCTTCCTTCCCATAAACAGCATTTTATTGCTAGGGAGTAAGAATGGTTGGGTGGGATCACAGCTGTAAATGTTCATTTTAGTTACAGGTAGTCCTCAACTTAGAAGCACAAAAGGGACCAGAAAATTTGTTGTTAAGTGGTGTGATCATTAAGCTAGACATCACATGATTGCAATTTGTAACTTTCTCAATTGACTTTGCTTGTTGGAAGCCAGCTGGAAGGTCGCAAATGGTTATCATGTCACTGCAAGACACTGCAATGATTGTAAGTGGAAGGACTGGTTGGCAGCTACTTTTCTCAGCACCGTTGTAACTTTGAACAGTCATTCAGTGAATGGACATAAGTGGAGGACTAACAAAATGATACTTATTCCTAAGTAATAAGGCTAGACTGATAGCAAACTCCACCTCCCCCTTGCCCTCCTTGCTTCCCCCCCTATTCATTTTTAATTTCACATGACCTTTCATTGTTTATTGATTCTGTTGTTTATCTTTATGGCTTCTTTACTTTGATACTGGGACTGTTGGCTAAAATACCTATCCATTGGGGTGTTTGTGGATGTTATGTTTATGTTTCATTTCTCCATTTTTACTGTTGTAAACCACCTAGAATAGCCCCTTGGTGAGATGGGCAGCAAATAAATTTAACAAACAAAACGCTATTCTATGAGATCATTAAAAGGCAGCTTCTAAAATTACATAAAGGAAAGGCATCTCAGAGCACCTTTGTCTTTTCTCTCCATACAGGTGACCAAAGATGGCCAATTCAGTAATATCCACAAGCATCCCAATGTAGTCACCATAGGTATTTTAGCCAGCTGCCCCAAGTTGCTCCTTCCTGACCTGATGATTATTGCCCGAGAAAAACAAGAAACAACGAATAGAAACCTGAAGTCTAGAGCATTAGAAATCACCCGGTAAGACTGGCACAGCCCTCACCACCCTGGCTTCCCAGGCCTCCTTGCAAAGTTTGAGTTCTCGTGTTGCTTTTCCTTACCTACAGGTTGATCCCACTGGACCTGGTGGAGATTTTTGTTCATGATGCGAACAAACGGCAGCTGAAAATGCAGCTGCCCACGGGGGACAAGTATTACCTGCAACTCTTGGTCAGGGAAGAGAAGGCGGATTTTCTCTTTGAGTGCTGGTTGCGCCTGATTTACCTGATGCGTCTGGCCAGTGGCAAGATCAAGAATCCAGAAAATCTCCCTGGGAAGGAACCCGAGGTTCGCACTTTATGGAAGAGTAGCCCTTTGCAGGCTAAGCTCACGGAGGTGAGATAGAATTGGAAAATGCAAGAAGTGCCAGAGAAGAAGCGCCAGGTCAAGAATTTAACTGGATATTCTTGACCAAAGGAACCAGGTTCTTTCCTAAACTAGTCCTTTTGAATTGAATACTTTATTTGCCTAGTGTGATTAGACGCACAAGGAAATTGTTTCCAGTACAGAAACACTTAGTGTGCTTGCAAAGCAACATAAAGAATAATCACCATCATAATACTTATAAAAGAGGACAATGATAAATAATAATACTACAACCACACTATATAGTTAATACAAGTAGTCCTGAACTTATGATCACAACTGAGCACAAAATTTATGTTGCTGTTTGACACATTTATTAAGTGAGTCTTGCCATGTTTGTTAAGTGAATCACTGCAGTTGTTAAGTTAGTAACACAATTGTTATTTGAATCTGGTTTCACCATAGACTTTGATTATCAGACGGTTGTCAAATGTGATCACATGACCCTGGGACACTGCAACTGTTATAAATGTGAATTGATTGTCAAGCATCCAAATGTAAATCATAGGACCATGGGGATGCTGCAACAATCATAAGTGTGAAAAACGGTCCTAAGTCTCTTTTTTCAGTGCCACTGTAACTTTGAACAAGTCACTAAGTGAACTGTTATAAGTCAAGGACTATCTGTATACGTAGACATTAGACAGAACTGCGAGAATTAAGTGTTCAGCAGAGTGATGACACGAGGGAAAAACCTGTCCCTGTGTCTAATTCTCCTGGCATACAATCAGGGGTGAAATCCAGCAGGTTTTGGAGAACTGGTAGCGGAAATTTTGAATAGTTCGGAGAACTGGCAAATACCACCTCTGTCTGGCACCAGAGTGAGGTGGGAATGAAGATTTTGCCATATCCTTCCCCCAGGAGTTGGGAGGGGATGGGGATTTTGCAGCATCCTTCCCCTGGAGTGGGGTGGGAATGGAGATTCTGCAGTATCCTTCCCCTGCCATGCCTACCAAGCCACACCCACCAAGCCACACCACGTCCACCAAGCCATGCCTACAGAACCGGTAGTTTAAAAAAAATGGATTTCACCACTGCATACAATGCCTTATAGTAGTGTCTTGAGTGAAGGAGTTGAAACAGTTTATGTCTGCTCAGTCCTCCTTCTGACCCACACAAGGTATAGGTCTTCTATGAAAGGCAGGCTGGTTGCAATTATTCTTTCTGTGGTCTTGACTATTCATTGGAATCTGTACCTGTCTTGTTTGGTTGCTGTATCAAACCAGATAGTTATTATAGTTACTAGCCATTAAGGGGATGGGTGAGATCTTGGTATCAAGTTGCTTGGGAACATCTTGAGTAAGGAGGGATATTAGTGATAAGGTTACCTACCTTTTGAGCTTTAGCTGAACTATGTTACTATGACTACTGAAGATGTATGCAGGATGCTGCTTTTAATGATTGGTTTAATGATGTATGCTCCCAGGATTGAAACAGAGATGAGCACTGCTCCCTATATTGGTAATCCTTGATTTACAACACTTCATTTAGTGACCGTTCAAAGTTACAACATCACTGAAAAAAGTGATTTTTGACCATTTTTCACACTTACAACCGTTGCAGCCTCCCCATGGTCACGTGATCAAATTTCAGACTGTTGGCAACTGTCTCATATTTATGATGGTTGCAGTGTCCCAGGATCATGTGATCAATTTTTGTGACCTTTGGACAAGCAAAGTCAATAGGGAAACCTGATTCACTTAACAACTGTGTTACTAACTTAACAACTGTGGCAAGAAAGGTCGTAAAATGGGGAAAACTTGCTTGTCTTGCTTAGCAACATAAGTTAGAGGCTCAGTTGTGATAGTAAGTCGAGGACTACCTGTTGATAGGTAACAACTAGCACAGTGATGGCTAACCTTTTCCGGACCAAATGACCTGAGTGCATCCGAGTGCGTGGATGTGCGTGCGTGCACCCAAACTCCCAAAATGCAATGTGCATGTGGCCCCTGCACATGTACCTACCCCCCGTGCATGTGCATGTGGGGCCCCCCTGAACGCGCCCTGCACATGCACCACTCCCCCACACGTACCCTGCGCATGCACGGCAGAGACCCGAAGACTAGCTGGCCAGCAGGAGGCATATGCACATGCGCAGCGGAGCTGAACTGGGGCGATGGCTCACATGCCCACACAGAGGGCGCTGCGTGCCACCTCTGGCACTCGTGCCATAGGTTCGCCATCACGGGACTAGCAGAATAAAATCTGTAGGGAACCCCTTATGCTTCCCTGGCAATGTATCCTTTTCAAAATTGTATGAAAAGGGATCCACTCCAAGCAAGGGGAATGCCCATTTGGAACTTGCATTTGGGTAACCCTTTTATTTACAAATAAGAGTTTTCCTTTCCACCTATCTGGCTTGCATGCTGGGTAAAAGGACCCAAGCTTTCTGGGATAATACCATTTTATTTATTTATTTTATTTTATATCCAATTTATATACCACCCTTCTCCCTGAGGACTCAGGGCGGTGTACAGCCGAATAAAAACATAAATTACAAACATTAAAATAGTATTAAAAGGATATATATAAATTTGGCCCCGCAATTTAAAAACAATAACAAACCAATTTAAAACATTTTAAAAAGTTAAGCCAGCCCGGCTTGCTGAAAAAAGAAGGTTTTAAGGGCACGGTGGAAGGCACTGAGGTCTTGGATTCTCCTTATCTCTGGGGGCAGTTGGTTCCAGAGGGTGGGTGCCCCCACAGAGAAGGCCCTCTCCCTGGGGGTCACCAGCCTACATTGTTTGGCTGATGGCACCCCGAGGAGGCTCTCTCTGTGGGAGTGCACAGGTCGATGGGAGGCCGTCGGTAGCAGCAGGCGGTCTCGAAGATAACTAGGTCCTATGCCATGGAGCATATATGAGACTATATCTTTCTTTCATTACAGAGGCCCCCTTCTGGAGAACAGGCTCAGCATTCAGTTCCTAAACTGAAGAAGGAGTCTGCAGGTAAGGAGTCACCAAAGGTCCTCCAACCCAAGTCGCAGAAGCAGTCTCCTCCCAAATGGACTTCCGACGGCTTCACCTCCAGGGCACCTGAGCAAACTTCAGCAGCATATCAGCTGAAGAATGTCAGGGAGCCCAACTTTGAGAAAAAGAAGCGCTTTTCATCAAGAATATCATCTGAATCTAATCCCATCCCAGTCACACTTCAAAAAAGCAAAAAAGAAATATGTTTGTTACAAAAGACCAAAATGGCATCCCCATTACAAAAGAACCCTCAAGCCGTGAGGAATGAGGATCCTGCTGCTGCATCAAGGGCGAACAATCCTGGCCGACCCAAGTCACCTGGACCTCCACCCCAGAGCCAGTCACCACAACAGAATCAACCTGCATCCAGAGTTGAACCAAAGGCATATTCTATGTCAGTGGGAACTGGTCCGTCTCAGGCTGTCCAGAGGAAATCAAAAGTAGAATCTGAGAAACAAAGCTTTCCAATTAATCCTTCTCATCTAGCCAACCAGAGCCAGAACAGTAAAAGTAATAAATGTTTAGGGAACCCAAGCATGATTCTGGGGAACAGGCCACAGGCTTTTTCAAACATTTCCCCAGAAAAGGGACATCTCACTTCTCAAAATGACACTGGGCAGCAAGTGCACAGAGTCACAATGTCAGTAGGCGTGGAGACTTCTCGTGTCATCTGCCAGACGGTGGCCGTGGGGCCCTCTAAAACAATTGACACAAATTTGAGCAACCTTCCCAACAAATTATTGAATGCGAGTAAATCCCACAAAGATCAAAGTAAGACCATAGGAAAAATGGAAATGAGCAGGTATGTTGGTTCAAAATGAGATGTACAATCTTGGCACATGACTCGGTTGTTTGATGGACCTTAATCTATCTCTTGTGGTGTTTGCTTGTCTTAAATGTTTGAACGGAGTTGAAATGCTTCAAATCCCATTGGTTATACGGTGCCACACATTTATGAGACCCAGGATGTAGCCCTTCTCTGCGTCTGGAAAAGCATCCACCCATAGAGTCAATTGGCCCCTATCCTGACCTTGTTCAAGGGCCCTGAACACTTGGTTTGTCCCCCAGGAATTGTGTTAGAGAACATAGTGGGCCCTTGTAGGAATATGAAGTTGAAGTTTATGTCTTCACTTAACAACCACGTTTCATTTAAGGGGGAAAAAAAGGATATAAAATCATGGTCATGTGATGACATATTTAATAACCACATCACTTAAAGTCTATAGAGATTCTCAGTTATCCAGGTGCCATCAGCCAAGTTATGTCGGCTGGCGACACCCAGGGGGAGGGCCTTCTCTGTGGGAGCCCCTGCCCTGTGGAATGAACTGCCCCCGGAAATGCGTAAGATCTCCGACCTCCGTGTATTTCGCTGTGCCCTCAAGACCCTGCTGTTCCGCCAAGCCGGGCTATCAATGTAATGATTTTTAAATTGGGGGTTTTAAATTTTGGGGTTTTAAATCTGAGCCGAAATTATGTAATAATTTTAATTATTTTTAACTGATTTTTGTCTTTGTGTTTTTAATAGGCTGTACACCGCCCTGAGTCCTTCAGGAGAAGGGTGGTATAGAAATAAATTTATTTATTTATTTATTTATTTATTTATTTATTTATTTATTTATTTATTATTTATTTATTTATCCAGGTCATGATTGTCCCAAAGATGCTTTTTCAGAAGTCGTTTTGCTTCTCATCCAAAAAGCTTCTTCAGCTCTGACAGGATAGTGGGGAATGGAAGAATTTATATTCTTTGCAGATAGTTGGCCATTTGCATCCTTTTAGAGGGTCATTGAAGCACTTGGAGGTTTGTCTGTGTCCTCAGGGTCACTTGAGTAGTGCCCCTAATTCCTGTAGTCTGCAATTTTTTCCTCTGGAAATCCATTTCTACTCCCACACCATTCGAAGAGTGTTCATCCCAAATTGTATAGCTAAAAGTCTGAGAGATTCTCAATCATCCAGGTCATGGTGGTCCCAAAGATGCTTTTTCAGGAGGCAACTGGACTTTCTCCCCCCCTTTCCCCCCTCCTTTTTTTTCTTTTGAAGAAAAAGAAAGAAAGAAAAAACAAGAAAGTCCTGAAAAGACACCTTTGGGACAATCACATCACTTAGTGACAGAAGTTTCACTTCCAGTTGTGCTCCTAAGTCAAGGACTACAATACCTATACTGAAGGTTCTGCTAAGCAGCTCTTACATCTGTTGGCTTCCCTTGATCCTTCTTTGCACCAATCTGTTGTCTGAAGATGGAAAAACCAGTTTGTGAAGACCTTTGTTCCTTCCAATTGTTTATTTCAGCCTTTGCTTTTCATTGTCTCTATCACCCAAATGTCCATTTAGCTAAAATAAGAGCAGTTTTTTTTTTAATTTGATTTATATGCCGCCCTTCTCCGGAGACTCAGGGCGGCTTACAATGCATTAAGCAATAGCCTTCATCCTTTTGTATATTTATACAAAGTCAGCTTATTGCCCCCACAACTGGGTCCTCAATTTACCTACCTTAGAAAGGATGGAAGGCTGAGTCAACCTTGAGCCTGGCGAGATTCGAACCTGCAGTAATTGCAGGCAGCTGGTCTTAATAACAGGGTGCTTTAGACCACTGTACTACCAAGGCTCTTGTTTTAAGTTAACTACTCTAGAACTTTTGGGTATGATGACCTGGTTCCATGAAAAACAATTTTTCCATGGACCGGGGAGTGCTGGTGGTTGTTACACATGCTACATAGATCCCACGCATGTGCAAATGAAGCCTCACTAATATGGGTGACCCTGTTCCTAATGGGCTGTGGATCAGTACTGACCAGTCTGCAGTCCAGGGGTTCAGGACATCTACTCTAGACAACACATAGCATTCTGGCTGAAAATTAAACCCTTTCTAAAACACCAGGCATAGATGGGAGTTGACAAAATTATGATGTTTATTTCCACCACAGACTTATTTTAAAAACATATTGCCTCAGGGTTCTAGCTCTAAAGACCAATTAAGCATTTGTTAATGATTTTATTTATTTACTTATCCCCGTTATAGACCATCTATCTCATAGGTGGTGAATCTGGGTGGCCTACAATAAAATAAACTATTAAAACAGAATATAAAAGCCAATTTAAACAACTAAATTATTAGCGTAAATAAAAGCAAGATTTCAAGAAGCTTAATTAAGATGTTATACATGGTGCTATCAACGCAGGGGCTCTCTGCCGCCAGGAGATTCCCAGGCCTGATGAAAAATTCACGTTTTGAGGGCTTTTGATGGATGCATTTTGACTTTTAAAATTTACTTGCTTAGCTTATGAACATTATGCAAGACAAAACTAATAAGAATGGAGATCTAGAGGTATATTCAAGATATCATCAGGATTATTTAGAGTTCCTTAAATTTGTCTGATTTAACCTCTTTGTCTTATCAGAAAGCAGGTGCCTGTAGCCAGAAACAAAGTGAAAACTGCACTAAGCACAGGTAGGAAGAAATCTCAATTAAAATGATCAATAGCAGTATGGGTTACAGAACATCCCTTTCTGAAGTAAACGAAGTCATTGAACTAAGGCGCAGTATTGACTATGAGTCCAAATTTGCCCTCCTCCAAATTCAGTAAAGCAGTTTGCAAATGTCTCTGCATGCAATTGATCAGTATAAGTGAATCGAGATGAATATGGCCGGTTGGTAAAAATGAAAAACTAAGAGAAAATGACACTGACAGATTGACCATCCCTAGTTTTTGCCATTTCAGCTGGGAACCTCATAGTTGACCTTTGTTTCGTTTGTTTTGCAGCTAAAGAAAAAACCAGCGTTAAATTTGTAACCCTCTATAGCATCCTGTCCTCTTCATTGGAGAGGCTGAAGAAATCAAGCAAGGATGGTACTAAGGTATTGGTCTAAAGGGGGGGGAGTGTAATCTAAAGTAGAGGCTCCCAAACTTTAGGGCACCAGCCACAGGTTCCGTGGAGAGAGGTTTTTCAACGGACCAGAGGGGGCGTGAATTCACTTGCTACCTGCATCCTGTGGATGGGGCTTTGCTTGTTTGCGCCAACCGGTTGCTGGCATGCAATGGACTGATGTCAGTCCACAGACTGAGGGTTGAAGACCCCTGATCTAAAGGATGGAGGAAGATGGCAGGAATTTGTTTTAAGGCTCAGGACTCTAATAGTGCAGAATTTTTCAACCCTGCCAGCTTTCAGATGGGTGGACTCCAACAGCCAGAATTGAAAAACTTTGTAATAGTGATACACTTTGAATTGTTCCAGCTGGTTGATACATTTGTGTGCCTTCAACTGAGAGATGTCTGAAGCCAATATAGGTAATCCTTACAACAGTTCATTTAGTGACTGTTCAAAGTTACAACAGCACTGAAAAAAGTAACCTATGGCTATTTTTCACTCTTACAACCATTGTAGCATTCCCATGGTCACTTGATCAAAATTTGGACATTTGGCAAATGGCATGTATTTATGATGGTTGCAATGTCTCAGGGTCATGTAATCATCTTTTGTGACCTTGAGACAAGCAAAGTTATTGGGGAAGACAGATTCACTTAACCGTGTTACTAACTTAACAAGTGCAGCAGTGGTGAAATCTAAAATTTGTTACTACCGGTTCTGTGGGCGTGGCTTGGTGGTGGTAATGTGACTGGGTGGGCGTGGCTAATTTTTTTTTTTTTAACTTTAAAAACCATTTTTTGTACAACCTCTTCGGCGAAGAGGTTGTAAAAAAATGCTTTCAAAAGGCTCTGACGATCCCAGCTGAGTTGCCTGATCAGCAGAGGCTTTTTTTTCTTTTAAAACCTCTGCCGATCAGGCAACTCAGCTGGGATTGTCACAGGCTTTTAAAAGAAAAAAAGCCTCTGCCAATCAGGCAACTCAGCTTGGATCGTCAGAGGCTTTTAAAAGAAAAAAAGCCTCTGCCAATCAGGCAATTCAGCTTGGATCGTAAGAGGTTTTAAAAGCATTTTTTTCTACAACCTCTTAACCTTTGACGATCCCAGCTGAGCTACGCGATCATCAGAGGCTTTTTTTTTCTTTTAAAAGCATTTTTTCGGCTGAAGAAATTGTAGAAAAAATGCTTTTAAAAGCCTTTGACAATCCCAGCTGAGCTGCACGATCATCAGAGGCTTTTTTTTTTACTTTTAAAAGCATTTTTTTGGCCGAAGAGGTTGTAAAAAAATGTTTTTAAAAATAATTTTAAAAAAAGCCTCTGATGATTGCATGGCTCAGCTGGGCATGGGGGGGGCAGGGATTTTTGCTACCGGTTCTCCGAACCACTCACCTCCATTGCTACCGGATCCAAACCAGGAGCATTTCATCCCTGAACTGCAGTGATTCCCTTAACAACGGTGTCGAGAAAGGTAGTAAAACGGGGCAGAACTCACAACTGTTTTACTTAGCAACAGAAATTTTGGGCTCAATTGTGGTCAAGGACTACCTGTATTTAGTGTACATTATAATAAGCATCTGCTATATTTACCATCCTTGGGCATGGTATTTATTTAAGGAGATCCATAAAGCAAATTTCAGCAGTTCTCCCAATTCATTAATATGCATTTCCATCTGAGTATCACAGAAAGTGGTTTGAAATTTTAGAGGGCATCCAGTGCATTCCATCTCAAACACGAAATTACAACAGAATAACCAGTGGGGGAAAATAAGGTGAATGAAATCATTTTCCCTGGGGAAGGCTTTTGGTTGAAATGCACTGGGTCATTATCACCTAAATAATTGACTACTTTTGAGAATGAAGCCTTTACCAACCTTTCTGATTTTTCTTTCTCTATCTGATCTCTCACAGCGCATGACTCCCAAAACTTCCAAACATGTCACAATCTCCGGGGTGATTGCCAAATCAAGAAAAAGTATTGTGCTGCAGGAGGAGAAGACTGGCAAGACTGTAGGTGTTGGCACCTCCAACGTTGTAGGGCTCATCTCCAAGGAAGCCGCTTGTGTGGTGGCGAAGAAAGATTATCCTCCATCTTCCCAGCCCCAAAAATCATTGAGCAAAGATGCCATTAAGCCCCAGACTCCTTTGGCTAGAGCGGGCCTTTTGGAAACAGATGAAGCCACAAAATTAGGCTATCCAATTGCTGCCAAGGAGCCTGGTGTGACCAGCATCACTTCCCAAGCACCACACAAGAATACAGGTGTGGAATAATGTAGCGTCCCAGGCTTGGAGAATTGAGAGGCTTCTAAAAAGACTTTGCCTGCAACCAAAATAGCTGAGAATCCTAGGAATGTTGCTACTACCCCTCTGCAATCACAGAAGAAACCCCCATAAATGAAATTACTCCAACCAAAATTCATCCTCCAATCTCCATAATCCAGAAAAGCACCAAGGAAAACCTAAGGGACTGGTTTTTCCAAGAATGTCGAAATCTGTAAGCATGGGCTGTTCAGCCATAAGCAAAGTCACTGTGGTAGCTGTTCCTGCCATCTGAGAAAACCACAGCAAACTCTCTGCGGTTCCTGGTGCTCCCATCAAAACCAGGGTTTCAAAAAGTATGGGTTACTCTGTAAAAAAAACCCAAAACTTAAAATGCTGGGCGTGGGGCACTCTGTGATGGGCATATTTGCTGAAACAATTAACTCTCTTGAGCCAGTTAGCAGTACAGGTAGTCCTTGATTGATGACTATTCATTTAGCGATCAAAGTTATGATGGCACTGAAAAAAAGTGATGACCGGGCCTTGTACTTACAACCATTGCAACATGGTCGTGTGATCAACATGTGGGTGCTTAGCTAGCAACAGCAACAGCAATAAGATTTATATACCACTCCATAGTGCTTTACAGCATTCTCTGAGTAGTTTACAAATGTCAGCATATTGCCCCCAACAATCTAAGACCTCATTTTATTGACCTCGCAAGCAGCAGGCACGCACACAAAACCATTCCCTCCACCCCTGCCCCCTGCTGCCACCACTGCTGCTGGTCCATGAAGCCGGATTGTAGTATCTCAGGGTTATGTGATTATCATTCCAGCTTCTGACAAACAAAGTCAGTGGGAGAAGCCAGATTTGCTCGACAACCACGATTCACTTAAAAAACACAGTGATTCGCTTAACAACTGTGGCAAAAAAGCTTGTAAAATTGGGTGTGACTCACTTAATGACTGCTTCACTTAGCAACAGAAGTTCTGGTCCCAATTGTGGTTGTTAAGTCGAAGGTTATTTGTCAAAGTTTAAAAGTCCGATATCTGACATCCAGAGCAGACTTGAACAGGAGGCTGTCAGAGATTATGCCCTCTTCCTAAATCCCTGTTACAGGGGTTGTTGGTCATGTAGAAATCAAGATCGTGATGGTGGATGCTCAATGATGGTAGACATTATTTACATTATGTTCTGCTGGCCTTACAAGGTCAGACCATAATGGGAAGGCTGAGATTTCAGGCGAAAAGTGTCCTCAAATCTCAGTGGCTTAAATTTGTTGGAAGACAAATCTGTAGAAAATATGATGGTATTTTTGAAAACCAACACAAGGACTTGGCAGCCATCCATCCATTTTCAGCAAAATTCACCTGCCAGGTGTCAAATAGAATAGCCTCATCCTCTCTAATATGGTAAAATAGAGGAGTACAGTAGAATTCATTTTACTTTCTGGGTTTCTAATTTTTTATTACATGTGAACTAGAAATTGTGTTTTAAAGCAGGTTCTAGTGGAGTGCTAAACAAATCAGCCCTGAACTTTGCATTGTTGCATGGTTGTGTGTTTAACAACTAGCTATAGTTCCTTGTTTGCGGTCAAAAAAATCAAGAATTTGCTAAAAGGAAAATAAATTCAGCTGTTTTATTTCTTCTCCAAATTGTTCAGGAAGAGAAGAGCATGCGTAAACCAAGCACGACAGTATATGATTTTCTTTATGGCCATCCACATGGCACAACATTTTCTTTTTCTGTGTTCATCTAGGAGAAAAAAAGAAGACGGAATATATAACTTTTGCAAGCAAATTTATTCACTTGAGATTCCATTCTTTAATATTTTGTTTAGGGCTGAGCAAAAGCTTATGCCCCTACCCAAGACATCTGTTCCTAGCCACAATGGTGCCAGAATAACAAAATGTTTGCTATGGTTTCATGATGCCAGTTCCACCCTTTTGCATCTGCTTTGCGTCATTGCATGGGAAAACTTAAGGGGCTGAGTTGCCTTGAAATTTATGTTTTGTCCCTCACTTCTTTGCTGCCCCCATGGACGCCTATTGCTTTATTATTAATACTTTTATTCTACTTGGCAGCAGCCTTCAAATAGATGGAATTTGCCCCTGAGTTAGCGAAGCTGTTCTTTCTGGCAAGGAGTCACGAGTTGCTCATTTTTTTCTACTTTTTCCTGCTTCACTGCTTTTTTAAAATGTATATGAGATGCTGTATTCCAATTTATGGGATGTAATTCTAGGCTGGAGGGGAAGTGACAATAATCCACAATGAAGCCCTGGTTAGCCATAAACATTTTCTGAAAGACTTTTTATATTGTCCAGCTACTTTCCAATGTAGCTGTGGCCTCTCATTTAACTACTAACTAGGCTGGTCCTGAGTAATGTTTTTTCAAAATCACCTGAGGCCAATTCAGTGGTGTTGCCTTCTGTGACATCCACAGTTTACAAGTTACCAAAAGTGCAATTTCACAAAATTCACAAACATATAATTCTTTTCTTTAAAAAATAACATTCATTACAATTTTAAAAAACAAAGATAAAAAATAACTAAAATTCCAATATTTTAGAAGAAAGGAAAGATAGAAAAAAAAGCTAAAGTTAAAAATGCAGAAAAAAGGGAACAGAAGAAAATATAAAAGATAAAACAGAAATTTCCAGTTTTCTTTTATATTAGTTGGAAGTATAAATTAACCTCTTACTGTATGGTTACAGCATGACTTCCTGTTTTTCTACAATCTATGTTTTTCTAATCATTAAAGCCATATGAATTCATTTTTTTCTGTTTCATGCAAAAAGTCTATAAAGGGTTTCCAGTCTTAAACTTAGTTAATATATTTTCTTTAATCAAAAATGTTAATTAGTGATCCCAGCAAGTTTCATCTTCTTTACCATCCATTTCTCCGTTGTGGGTAATGACAAATCTTTGTGCATATAATATAATAATCTCACTGCAATTATCATATATAAAAACAAAGCTCCATCAGTCTCAAAAGAAACACCTCTGGTTTCAATTTTGTGTTAATTTTTCAAATCTTCTGAATTAGTATGTGTAGTAGTAGAATCCAATTTTTTTTACATATCCATCAAGCATGATAAAATATCCCCTCTTATTCTTCACATTTCCAGTATAAATTCAAAAAAATCCTTATACATTCTAGATATATTTTCTAATGACATGTACCAATGTTTTTGGCATATAAATTCTTTTGCAATTATAACAATCTAAATTTCAGTCCTTTAATCCACACATTCTTTCTGTTTGATTTGTAATCAAAATTGTTAGCCAATTTTGTCATACATTCTTTCACTTGTTCTTGTTGCAAATTTCAAGAAAAGTTTATATGTTTTAGAAATAATACGATCGCTACTTGTACACAATTCTGTTTTCAAGCTTAGTCTTAAAATATTCAAAACCAAAAATTATTTTATCTACTTTAAATCTTTCTAGCAATTGTACATAAGACAACCATTGAAAAGTACATCTTTCTGCGACCAGATCACTCTTGATTTCCCTGACAAAATTCTAATACGTCAAAATAAGTTAACTATTGGTTTTTTGTTTATCATTTCTCATCTATTAAATACTTCTCGTGCTGACTGCCACAAAAGTGTTTTTGGATATAACCTAGTTTATATCTGTTCCATATTCCCAACATGCCATGTCTAACAGAATTATTTTTAAAAACTTCATTACTTTAGCTTTATTCCTACCATAAGTATCCATGCCACCTAAATCTCAAATCATGACCTTCTAGCTCTGACACCCTTCTATTTCTCGTAATATTTTATATTTAACTCATGTTTTTCCCCCATGACACAAATTTAGATATATCTTTCTGCCATTGTTTAAATGGTACATCAGCTATTAAAGCAGAGATTAATACAGAAATTATTAGCAAGAATGACAATTGTATTTTCTCCTATTTTACAAATATTATTTTTTTTAAATGGAAGGGCTGAACTTCTCAGGTCTCTGTGAATGTGCAGAGTACAGGTAGTCCTCATCCAGTACTTCCAACTTTGTTGTTAAGTGAAGCAGTCATTAAATGAAACTGCGATGATGTTTATGATCTTACCTCAGATTTACTTTCTTTTATGAACCAATAAAGATCATAAATGTGAGGACTAGTTGTAAAATTACTCTTTCATCACCATCATAACTGTGAATGGTCATTAAACAAGTTATTTGCTAAATGAAAACTACTTCTAATATATTTGAACAGAAGGTGAAAGAGGTTTAGAGAAAAAAACAATACTGGGACAAGTAGTTTGGACTGGAATAGAGAGAAAATTAAGCACCTAGCATTGAATTGTGGGGAAGAATCTAGAGAATTTATATCTAAACCAAATTCCTGATAATTGTAGCAAGATTTATCCTGCAGTTGTGTAGGCAGCCATACAGCCTGAAGCTATAGGCATCTTTTAGAAGGCCTGGCCTAAAAAGGAAGCAAAGTGTATGAGATGTAAATTGAATTCTCTCTCTTTCTTTAGGACTTCCAACAGTGAACCCTGTACTGTTTAAAGAAAATCTTTCTCCTCTTATCCCAACCCAATGGTGGGAGCCAACTAATTTAACAACCGGTTCATCCTAAAGACCAGGTGGGAGTGGCTGGGGAGGTCATGTGACTGAATGGGCATGGCCAACTTGATGTCACTCACGGCAAGGTGGGGTGGCGCAGCAGGCAGGCCGAAGCAGCGGTAGCCAGAGCCTTAGACTTACCTTTGTGCAGCAACAGTGATTCTCCGATGCCTCATCTCTTGCTGGGTCTTGCTGCCCGACAGGGTTTTTAAAAAGGTTTTTGCAGCAGGAAATGATGGGAGGCTACTTCTGGCCTTTGTTGGTGCAGCTAGGCACATGACCCTGCCCCGAAACATTGGCCTGCAGCCGCCGGTCTTTTTCAGTGCGAGAAGCCTGCAGCCGCTGGTCTTTGCTGGCGCAAAGAGCTTGCAGCAGTTGCCCTTTTGCCGGCCAGAACTGAGCCGGCAGCAGCAACTAGAGGTGTCTCATGGCGGCAAAGAGCAGCAGCTGCAGGCTTCTTATGCCAGCAAAGAGGTGGTGGCTTTCTCGGTGGGGAGGGGGGACACGGCAAGGCTTGGTTACCTTTCGGGCCCTGTTCTGGGCTGCCGCCTGCTCAACCTCCGCTCTGCCTCGGGTCCCACATCCAGCCCCGACAAGAGGACATGCTGCTTCCAGGCCAGCCCAGCTGATGGATGGGAGAGTGGACGGCCTTTGGGGGAGGCATTTTCTCTCAGGCCTCCCACCCGGAAAGCACCATGGAAGCTGAAGCTGTGCCCGAAAGGCGGCCGAGCCTTGCAATGTGTGCCCCCTCCCCCACCGAGGTGGTCCTTTGGCTGAGCACAGCAAGTCTGGAGTGGATCTTCCTTCCCCACCGTCAGCCTTACCTTCAAGCCCATGGGTCTCGCACTGTTCTCATAGTGGTGGCCCGGCATGCGAGCGG